GGCTAATACACGTACCGCCAGTCTTCCTTATCTACGCGGGCATCTGCCGAACATTCGTCACCAGACGATGTCCCCCGTCGAACAGGAACTTGTTTCAAATATCTGCCAAATATTTTCCTGCTTTCTTCCATAAAAGAGCGACAAACCGTGGGAACAGATTCTACAAGTTTTTCTAATTCTATGGCAACCTGGTTTTGCAATGTTCTCGGGAACCATCCAGGGTACGGTGGATACCACGGGTATTGTGGTGCCGGTACCGGCGGCGAATTCGTTGCTGCTGTCGTCGGTGTGGTCGGGGATGGCGGTGCTGTCGGTGATGTCGGTGATGTCGGTGATGTCGGTGATGTCGGTGATGTCGTCGGTGTGTTCGGTGCTGTCGGTGTGGTCATTCTTAAACTTTTTTCCAACCCCGTAGCACCTGGCTCCGCCACTTTGCCTTCTTCCATCCTCTCCGTTGAGCAGACATGCACGCTGGAAAGGTCAAACTGGCTCTCGCCCCGGAGTCCGACATTGACAAGAGCATTGTACACTGTTGTGTCTGGGATCGTGTGTGACACAAGTGGTACGCAAAGGTGACCACAGCAGTCCGAATTCGCCAAGCAGAACGGGCTTCTTTCAACGCAGTTTGCCTCAATTTCCTGATTAAATACAGTATGTAACAAAATTAATCATAGGGTGGGCATGGGTCCCACTATACCTGTGATGACGCATGTATGCTCTAAGATTTCAAACTTATTATTTGACCGTTTATTCATCATGTATTTGTCTGCATACTTGCAAAATTCCAGACCAGTGAGACCGATTTTAAGTGGTGCAAACAAAATTGAATTTAAAAAAAAACGAAAATTTAACGCAACAAAATTAATCATATGCCTGAACCAATGATTTTATATTTTGCGCGGCATCCTTTGCCTGAAACTACGGTTTGGATTCTTGATTCTATTACGTCTAGGTAACATTCTGGCCAATTTTCATCATTCCCCTGTGATGACCTCTTAAAGGGCAACTAAATTTGAATGGTTGCGTTCTATGACTCGACTTTTCAAAGGTGCATTAGAATTCTCGATAGGATTGAGATTGGAAAATTGTGCAACCCACTCTAAAACATTGATATTGTTCTAGTTGAGCCATTTCGGGACGATTTTTGTTGAATGTTTTGGTTCCCCATCTTTTTGGGGGTGGAACGGCGACTCAGCTCCTATTTCCAAGGTGAAGGACGCAGGGTCGGCTTCAACAAATCCAAGAATATCTGCTTGATCTGGATACCGTCAATTAATTCTAACGTACCGAAGATTTTCTGCCCCATACCTTGACCCTGCCTGCACAAAACAAAATTTGAGAGCTAAATCCGTGATATTCTTGGATTTGTTGAAGCCGAACTTTTGAAAAATTGTACTCGTACAATTTTCGAGTGCTTGTCAACCTTCATCACTTCTCAGTGACCTCGTTCGGGTTGAGGTGGTCGGAAAATTACGATAAATTTCTCACCGTCAGGTTAGCCTTAATTAATCGCAAAACTTATGTCAAACCATTGCTCTCTGACGTCACTGAGGAAGGACAATGGTTGACAAGTACTCAAAAATTGGACTTTTTATTTAATGCTGACAATGTTTATAGTCACCAACTTGTGCCAAAATTAATTTAATAAGTGTTTCCGGACTTATTTACGGCTCATTAAGAGTTTGGTCAAAAATTAAGCAAGTCGAGACTTTTGCATTTATTTATGACCATTCCAACCCAAATTTGTCTGGAAATCTATAAATGCTTAAAGATCTTTAAGCTTTGTAATTTAAATAAATTAAAATTTAATTTAATCTATTTAATTTTGCACAAACTGGTTGCAATTTATACTGAATTTATGGGTAACTCATCCGCAACTCACCGACAACACTATTATTACTTACAGCGTTTAACTAATAATTAAGGTGTACACGCGCATGCTCCCCGATTTTGACCAAATTATTACCAATCGAGTAATCGACCGAAAAAATTTAACCAAAAATTTTCTAAAGGCACAATCTCTAAGATGCGCAGAGTGGGCGGATGTATTTGCATTCGAACAGGGGAAACATGTGAATTTGGTCAATACAAAATTCGTCCAATTTGACGTGCTTTTTCTCTATTTTGGATACAAATCCTGTGCATGGGGGATGGTACTATTTTACAAATTTCAAATTAAACCTCTTTTCACTTAAATACGTCATATGACGTATTTCAAAATATGTCCCTAAGAGACCAAATACGTCATATCGCGTATCAAAAAAATCTGTTGCATACAAATTTCGTCATACAACGTACCATGACGACTGTCCCTTGAGGACCAAATACGTCATGTCACGTATTTTTTTTTTAAATTCAGATTTCTCATAATTTCAAAAATACGAGTGTTTCTTTGGTGTTTTGAGGAAAAATCGATGGTAAAAAGTTGACCCTTTTGGATATTTTTCTTCACAAATTCTGAAATTTTCCCTATACCGACCATATTTCCATAATGTAAAAAGTGGATTGTCGTGATTTTCGCCAAAAAACTCAAAACTTGGAAACTGATTGAAATAAATATTGGGTTTTTACAGAAAATTGGTTGCTACCAGATGTAGTTATGAATTGAATATCGTACTCAGCGGAAATTTTAATCGAGACAAATAAAGTTGAAAGAGCACTAAAAATAAAAATTTGTCGAATCAACACCGCCGGTGTCAATATATGACTTAACCGCCTTGGTTATGTCACGGGCGGCTTTTGTGAGTGGCTAAGGCGAGGGCAAGGTGAAAGTGTGGTGAAGAATTATGAGAGATGCTGTGTTGAGCTCCTATCTCAAGGAGAAAGTGGAGTAAATAATTGGGGGAGCTGAGACAAGATGTTTGTGACTGGTAGGAAGAGAGATGTTTATTAGGAGAAAGCGACCACGGACTGACACCCAGAAATGTCTCTCGTCACTCGTTTTATACTTGCGAGATGGGAGAAAGAAGAACTTTCTCCCAACTCTTACAATAGATTGACACGCATGATCATCCCACAAAACAGAGTGCGACATTCCTCCATGTTTTCTTCGCTTAAGTTTTAGGCCCAGTATTTTAATTTGAATTTTTGGAAAATATAACACTTAAAGCAGAACTTAAATCGGATTTGAAACTGCAAATCTGTTTCTTGTGGGATAATAATATTTGCTACATGTGTACATATACATACATACAATTATTATTTAGAGTTATTAATTTATCATTAATCCAGAATATCAATAGATTGTTAAATCTTAAATACACACAATAGGAGCTACGATGTACGCCTCTGTGTGAAAAAGGTTGAACATTCTGCAGTATTCGATGCTTACTTAGTGGTATGTATTATACATTATACAATATACAGATTACGGATACATTTGTATTCATATTTCAACAATTAGACGATTGGTCATCTAAATATTTTCACCGTATTATCTATGATTTACATACATAGTTCTGAAATTGTTTCAACTTAGTAAATAGAGTACGCCATATTTAATTTTTAGTTTTAAACTGATTCCCTATGCTTCGCAATGTTAATCTGGTGCTAATTAAGGACATGTGGGCATCTGGTTAGTTAGATATATGCAAATTTGCAAGTGAGATAAGATGAATAAAACTATCAAATTTTACTGGTCGGACATGGCAATTATAATGTATAATAATTTTAAGGTAGCATTAAAAAGCATAAATATTTTCAAATCTGACGTGCATACATGCATACTACTGGGATTAATGGAAGAGCAAAAAATGCAGAGCAGATGCATCGTTTAATGCGGTAAACGGTTGACTACTGGGCGTCCGTTTTCCCTTTTATTCGGTTTTATTACTTTGTTTCCCTTTTATTCAGGGGAGACGCGTTGCTGTTGGCGTCTCTTTGATGCATTGTTGATTTTATTGCTTTCTATTCCTATTATGCAATATTGTGACTTTCATTTCCCTATTTTAGTCGTATTCTTTCCTCCGTTCTGTACCAAATAAAGCTATTCCAAATTGGTCATCAAAATGTCACCACCAACTCATCAAGTTCCAGTTGATAGAGTGTTAAATAAGGTGTATACTTTAATAGGTCGCGTGGCGAAAGATAAGATAAGAGCCTGGGATTTCTATAAGCGTACGAGCCTGTTCCGTTTAAGTGGTGTAAGCCAGAAGAAACTAGAAAGACAAGTAAATAAATGGAAAGGAGAGATAGAAATGTGGTACAATGTCTTGGTGTGCATACTACATCAGGATTACTATATATTTGATTTCAAAACTATAATTCCTACAAAGTTCGAGAATGTGGCTACGGATTTAGTGCAGAAAAAGTTATCAATGATACATCAGAAATCTAAGTCAGATATATTGAAAACGTTTGATGTAGTGGAAAGTATGTTGGCTTCCCTGGCAGATTATAGAAAATCGGAGCCATCAAAGCTTGATATTACTTCAAGAATATGCCATAAATAAGAAAAGTGCAGAGCGCGAAGCAATTTCTTACGGTATTCTCAGAATGATATTGGAGGATGAAATTTAAGAGAGCATGCAGACCAAGGTGTTGGTAAGCGAATATAATTTCCAGTAAAATAATTATATATGTAGCTTTGTAGTAATTAATTCCTCAAGTAAGAGAAAGTTTAACGAGTAATAAGGATTGATTTAAATAATTAGTGCCAATTTTATTAAAATTAGCAATTAAATTTGCAATTAAAATTTCATATCAAAATTTAAATGTGCACTTATCTACATGACTGCCAAAATGAATACTTTAAATTGAGGAATTTATTAATTACTCGAGTGGAAGCTAGGGTTCCCAACAGCTTTAATTAATACGTACATAAATGAGTAATGAATGATGTACTCAGGCTATTATGCAACTCTTGTGTGTATCTATATACGGGAAAGTGTACGTATGCAGAATTAATGCATGACTCTGGTTGTTAATTTTAGTTGTGGACACCCGATTCAATTTTGCTACCGTCCACTTACATAGAATCAGTTGTCATCTCACACTACTGGATGCAAGCATTGAAAGATAGAGAAATCACAAGTTGGGAGAAAATTCTCATATTGTTAGATGTGCCTGCAGATTTTCCTCCTTTCTCAAAATTAGGCTACAATGAAGAAGAGAACGTGCCGTTCAGACCTGCTCACGCCTGTCTGTTGGTAGTGGATAAGCCACGCTTAAGCATGAGATTATATGATGCGAATAATTCGCATCACAATAGCAGAACAGAATTGCCTCATCTTAAGTGTTTTTATGAACTAGGAGTGGCCCTAGTAAAAGCATTTAAAGAGTATTTGGACTTGGATTTCACGTTTGAAGCTATTGAAGGACCATCCAAATGTAAAGCTAGTGCGAACAAGAAAGTCCAACAAGCATCTAATAATAATGATTGTGGGGTTTTCTGCATTTTTTTCGCGAGATTTGAATTGTACGAGTTTTCTAAGGTTGCTCTAGCAAATTTAAAGAAGCGAGTATTGAACGTTAGTGAGCGAGATAAATTACGTGCAAACGGGCGAAAAATGTTAGAGCAAAAGTACAGACAGAAATAAAGCTGGGAGAGATTATAAGAAATGCACATGCACACTAAAGAATAGCTAGTACTGGTTTATGGACGTATATTCGTAATAAAATTGCACACGTATGTGTTTCCGATATTCATGCATACTGAGAAAATACTGTAAATATAAATGTATACTCTCTTATCAAAGCTAGTGATATTTAATATGCAAACATGCTTCAAATTGATTTGTATATTTGTCCGAACTATATACAAACTTGCAATATTAGATACATATATCCAATGTATATACAATTTTTAATGATGATGCATATGTATGCCCTGTACTCATGTATACGTATTAATAGGATAAGAAGTGCATAAATGTGTAAGCACACTAAAAGATTATTGGAGCTTGTCCCCCTATTCGAATGTATATACACTTTTCATAATATATATTGCCAATATATACGTATAGCTCGAAATTCGTGCAAAAACACAAAAAATGTCTAACCTGAATAATTTTTTTGACTTTCTGTATGTATACATATATGTAAATACTTAATAATTGTTGTTTCTTATGTCCAGCCTAAATACTCATAATAGGAATTTATATTTATACCGAATGCTATTTAACTCTGGGTATTCACATCCAACCTGAATACATATTCAATACAACTTGGTATTAATTTATCTGTCACATTAAGTAGTTCATATTTACATGTCAAACTCAGATAAAGCTTGCATAATACTGTATACGTATCTAATATTCGTAGCAACTCAGATTAATTTGTAATACTCATAATAATAATCTATACTCTTAATAATAATTTACTCATGTAAAATATATATACATATTAAAAATTTACACGTACATATAATATTAATGCATACGTAATATGTACTCCCACACTAAATGATATTCCATAAATTTAAATCTGCATACACTCTTAATAATCATTATGTAAAATTTCTAAATTCTGGAACTTATATTTTTTGTTATTGTGTTTTAATGCTCATTTACATATTGTATAAAGACTTACTACATTTTTGGTGGAATTTGTGTTGAAATACATACTCATTGTTATATTGTGTAAAGATTTCAGTGACCAACATACGTATGAGAATTATAGGACATTTAATGTACATGTTATTGTGGGATGTAAATATCGCTCAACTGAGTATTGTGAATAAATTGTAAATTTTGTATATAGTATATTTTGTAGTTAAAACACAATAATTAACTCATTTAAATGACATTTAATATAAATTTGACATGACATGTTGGCACATATTCTGCTATAAATTCAAGTTCTAATTTATAAGTCGTGATATTTTGATGAATAAGTGACCCATTTAATGAAATTTAAACGCAAGAAGTGTTACGACACTATTGGTATTACGGAAAATTGAATCATTTCATCACAAAATATCAGTATCTCAAATACTATTAACAATCCATTCATGTGTAAATTACATACTTGAACTATTATTTTTCATACCAAAACGCAATAATTTTTTTGTTTTAATTTTCTTGGGTGAAGTTATGAATTCAAGTTACACTCATAGATCAAATGTCATCCTCATGGTGCAGGTTCGGTGGGGAGAAAGTTGATAGGCTGTCTAGATGAGAAATGGAATAGATGAAAATTGTAGTGGAACTCGTCCAATAGAGGTCAGCGGAAATCCAGCTTAAATTAGGTTGGAAGTCGTTGGGAGGAGTCATCCCTGGAGGTTGATAATAATCTGTCGATTAGTCCTAGACGTTTGCGTTGGGGAAAGCAGGGAAATCGGATGTGTATTTTTTTTTGGTTTTGTGTTCAGCACAAGTGCTGAATTTTGTTTATTATTGTTTATCTATTTTGATCGGTATTTTTTGTCATCTTCGCCCATATTCTTCTTAGGGCCTTTCGGTATTGATCCAAGTCTTCGCGCACATTCTTATCTGCGCCTTTCGGTATTGCTCCATTTAATGTCCATGTAATCGGTCGGTTATCCTGATCCTTAGTGAGAGTTAAGATGGAAGTGAACAAATCAGAGGGGAATTAGTTATAATTTGGGTTCAGCACAGGTGCCGAATTTTGTGATTTTATTTATATTTTATTTATATGTTAAAGTCATTTCTTCGCCCAAATTCTTCTTCGGTTATGCTCCAATTCTTCGGGCCCCTTCGCTGCGCGAATCGGTATTTGAAAATTAAATGATAATAAACCGTTGCAAACGAACATCAGAACTAATGGATGCTAGGTTCGATGTGAAGATTGAGCGTCCCCAAAATCCAAATAGTTCCCAGCATGTGACCCTTTGAGCGTCCTCTCGAGGTCAAAGTGTGGTGAGAAGAGCGTCCTCGTCGTCGTCACACTTTAAATCCATTATCATGTTTGATGTTTACTTAGTACAGTTGGTATTAAAGTTACAGCAAGTTAACAGCAATATTTTAATAATTAATCATTTAACGATATTAATTACTTAATTATTTATCTTGAAGTGCTAATTTCTCGATAATTAGTGATTAATTAACTATTATTTAAATGTTTACGATGTGATTTAATGGTTATGTATTTATATAGATTTTCAGTTCCTTATTATGAATTTTTTATCAGTGGTATAATTCTTTATTTTAATTAAATTGTTTCTTAATTCCTACTTATTTTTGTTATTTTCTGGATATTGACATGTTGACTAATCGTTACTTATTAACTTTATACTTATTTTAATTCTCTAATCGTACTTATTTACGTATTGGTTTATTGCTTATTGAGTTATTTGTATATTTAGTTCAACGATTTACATAATTGTATTTATTTCTGTATTTATCTAGGTTACATATTTGTAGACTTTATTTTACTTAGTATTTATTATTTTTCAATTTAGTAGTTTCTTTGTCTATTTATGTTTTCTAAATTGACATCTTAATTGTTTTTCATTGATTTGATTGATTTATTTATTATTTTCAATGAATCTTTCTTCATTGATTTATTCACCGCTTTGTTCATTGATCGATATAGTTTTCGTCGATTCAGTTTATCATTTACGTATTGATACATTCCTCAAGTTATTTATATTTATACTTTTTCTTTAGTTCTGTTCACTTATACGTAATAAAGTGAAAGTAACATTCTCCGTCATGTATTACATAATTTGGTCTGAATTTATTGGATTGGAAAATGACTTATCAAATAGCGTTATAATTAAGAGATGAGTCGATTTACATATCTATTTCATAGTTAGATAAGGTGGAAATGCAAAGTATTATAAGTAAGGTGGAAAGTTATAGCTTATTTTGCATAGAATTTAATTGAGCGAGGAGGTAGATTTATTCATTTTTTTCTTAGTTTGCGAATTTTTTATTTCCTTACTAAATCCCTACCAACAAGACATTGATGAAGAGAATTTGTAGTTATTCTTGTTTTTAATACGATTGTTGTTGTACCAGGGATGTAATTGGTCGTGACTTTGGAGATGTTGACTTATTCTGATATTTGTGAATAAATTCTTGGGAGAAACAGACATCTAATCATTGAACGTCGTAAAATAGAAGTACAGCGGAAGGAATAAGTGTTAAGTTGGTCTGATAAATAAGTGAATCATCTCTGCTAAATTAACTTCCTTTTTCAACTTTAAATGGGTTATGGGTTATTTTTTGTGTGTAGCTTAAGTAGGAGCTCAAGTAAAACGATGTGTGCTTGTTATTTAATTTTATTGTAACATCTAAAGACTTGAATAATGAAGAGAATTCTGATGTGCTGCGTAACTTAATTTTGCTAAGTTACGTTACTAAATAAACGAATAGAAATAGTAGTCAAATTTTATAGTTTTGTTTTTCTAAGAGAAGGAACTTATGAATGTGATGGAGAAAGTAAGATGTAGTAAACGATGATGAATTTTTATGTTTCTGTTGTTCTGTTTGGACCAAATACTTGACAATGAGATTAAATAATAAATTTCCAAAGCGAAATTGAGGAAGTTAAAGCAGGACAATTCGGTATCATAAAAATTGACGAAGAGGACATGTATAAGATAAAATAAGAGTGTAAGTTGTCCAAGTAAAGTAAAATTAAATTTATTGTTCGTGGCTGGGAAATGTGGATCAATTGATGTTGAGGAATGGGATTCTCTCCATTTGGCTAAATTTGTTCCGACAGAGAATGGCGAATAGAATAGCTTGTTTTTCTCAAATCTTTGGAATTATTGCACCATAAAAAGGAGATGAAATCAAAGTAGCAGAGATAAAAGTTGAGTTGGGTCAATTTTGACGACTGTGTCTAGGGGAGAAAATAGGGAGAAAGTGAAAGTGCGTAAGTAAGTAGGTTCCTCGTGGTTGTGAGATGTGAATCTTTGTTGTTGAAGGGGATTAGGTTCCGGGTAAAGTACTTTTGTGTTGCGACAGAATGACGAATAAAATAGATTGCTTTTCTCTTATGGTTTGTAAGTCAGTGAGTCAAATGCAAAAATCGAATTGGAGGAAAGTGCTGCTGACAAATATTCGCCATGCCGTCTTTTTTTGCAAAATCCGCCACTCTTGGTAACATGTTTCTCTTATGCTATGTATTGTAGTTTGAGTATTTTAGCTATGTTTTAATTTGATTCTATTTCTATCTCATGGGAATTATGTATCGTTTTTTTATAATTATTTTTCAGTTAGTATATAATTGTAGTACTATGTAGTGGCCATTTAAATTGAAATATCAGTACGTCATTTTTCAAATCTGCGCTTTGTTTACGCAAATTTTTTTTTTTATAAATATTCAATTAATTTCATCGCAATCCCTGCGGAATATTTTAATCATCGCTTTTTGCGGAATTATTTCAATCATCGCTTTTTGCGGAATTATTTCAATCATCGCTTTTTGCAGAATTATTTCAATCATCGCTTTTTGCGGAATTAATCATCGCTTTATGCGGAATAAATCATCGCTATTTTTGCGGAATAAATCATCGCTTCGTTGCGGAATAAGTCATCACTTGTCATCGAGCCAAACGTTATTTTACGCTCTTGAGTGGAATTCAAATACAGCCTGGCCAGGGCGAAATCATTTGTATCATCTCACTTTAGAGTTAAACATTTTATACTCAGTGAGGAATTTCAATATTCAATTAGTTAATTTCTCATACTTTTATTATTTCCTTCTGTTTTGTTTATACTTTTAATGTTTATTCTTTCAATTATTCCGTATTTTGTTATACTATTATTTTTTCTGTTTATTCTTTGAATTTGTGCTGCTCGCGAAGTTACTGCAGTGTGTGAATGTAAATAAAATGTAAAAAGTATTTAAACAGAAACCAACCATAAACTTATTATGGTGGGGGTCAATCAGTGGTTCCTTGCGCGACTAAACTTTCAAATCGGCCGGAGAGAAAGTTGTCGTTGTCCTCTTCACTGTGGAGGAATAGTAGTTTATGCTAGTTTATAACTTTCTCCTTCAACGTCAGCATAGTTGTTGCATGTGTGTTGCTAAGTGGGGGTCAGATGAGACATAAACTGGAATTCTTCATAGTCGTGTAAAATCTTGACTCGGGTTGAATTGAGACTGGGGTTATGTTAGACGTCATTGCAAAATTTTGAGGCGGAATTTTGCAAACGTGCAAAATTTGAGAAGTGAAGAATTTCGCATTTTTTTGTAGATTTAGGAGGAGATGGAATTTTTGCAATTTTATCGAAGCGATGTGTAGAATTACGTATCAAAAGTTGTAGAGAGGACCGTAGATCTGTACATGTACAGATTTATAAGTCGGGGCGACGATAGATTCTCCTATCTCAAATTTTTGTGAAGAAAGTGGGTGACTTGTAGAGGTAAAATGGTCGTGGAAAGATGAAATTACGATTTGTAAAATTCTTCCTAGTAGCGGTAAGTTCGTCGTAGACGTCGCGAAGTTTTGTACAGGTACAAAAATGTTATCCGGGCAATGATAGATTCTTCTCGCCAACTTGTATGAAAGGGAGGGGAATTATTTGTTGGCAAAAGTAAAATAGTTGGAGGGCGATGAAAGCAGGAGCCAGTTAATTCTTCCTAGTTTCTTCGGGTCAGTAGTGTAGTTTTTGCACAGGTGCAAAATTTTCGTCAATTGGAGATGGGGCGAAGTAATGAAATTCTCCTCGGGAATGTGGGACGAAAATGGGATTTTGAAGAAAGGAATATTCTGAAAATTTTTCGAAGTAAAGCCCGGAGGCCTTAGTTTTCGCGATAAGGCACAAGTGCCTCAATTTATCTGGAAATGCCCAGGGACATTTTATTTTGAAGCAATGCACAAGTGCATTGTAAAATCTTGTAAGTTGGCAAAGGATAAGACCGAAAGTAGGGGTCAAAAATTGGGGCGAAATAAAATTGAATAAAACAATGCAGGCATCCGTCATTATGTGGTGAAAATTTGTCACTTTAAGTCCGTTTTTCTCGGGAATTTAACTCTATTACTGCAGAATTTGACTAAAATTTCACGTCGCAAGAACTTATCTCGCCGCTGACACCAAATGTCACGGGCGGCTTTTGTGAGTGGCTAAGGCGAGGGCAAGGTGAAAGTGTGGTGAAGAATTATGAGAGATGCTGTGTTGAGCTCCTATCTTGAGGAGAAGGTGGAGTAAATAATTGGGGGAGCTGAGACAAGATGTTTGTGACCGGTAGGAATAGAGATGCTTATTAGGAGAAAGCGACCACGGACTGACACCCAGAAATGTCTCTCGTCACTCGTTTTATACTTGCGAGATGGGAGAAAGAAGAACTTTGTCCCAACTCTTACAATAGATTGACACGCATGATCATCCCACAAAACAGAGTGCGACAGTTACAATGTTGAATCCGAGCTATGATGATTTTGATACCGGTTATAATGTTATGACCGGACGGAAAAAATTCATTACAACTCGGAATCACAATTGTAACCAAGGCGGTTAAGTCATATATTGACACCGTTTTCTTTTGAGTGAGGTTAAATATGTGATCGATTGAGGCTAATTTGGCAAAAATCTAATATCCAACGTTATTATCTCCACTGTAAGACTACATTTATTTGTTACCTTTATATTCTGCATTTGTGTGAATTGACAGGTTGCACCGAAAAATGTCAATAACGCAAAGTGGTGGGGAAAGTTCATATCGAAGAATCTTAATGATCGAGGTCGTTCGAATTGTCAGGAAGGATTTAGTCGAACTGTTCCCAGTTTAAGCAGTGCATATGTAGGTGACGATTTATTTATACGCGATAAGACCAACATGCGTAGAACTGGAGACAATACAATAATTAATGTGATTAATGTACATTTTACCCTACTTTTATGGAATATTACCATGAAATTGACATATTTATTAACGGGAGTGTGTGGTACATTTTACTCATCGCTGGTGGAGTTCGGACTGCAAATTTATTTATTTATTTATGCTTCCGGGTAGTAAAGTCCAACCAACAGAAACAAATTAACCTGGATTATCACTCTCCAGAACGACAATAAATGTATGTAACTAAAATAACAGTTTATGGCATATATTTATTACCCTCTCTTAGCAATAAATGTCACCATTTCTCAGTCCCTATCTAGTCCAACATGTCCACCCTTTATTTTCTGGCACTTGTTCTCCTAATTTGCTAAGTAAATTGTGCAATTTTTGCCGAAAAGCTTGAAAACATTACACCGCCGCCTAATACTTCCACAAATGTTTCCATTTTCACTGAGACGTTCCAAAACGTTAACATCAGATCCCCCAATTCAACCACGAACGGTTCCTTTATCGGGGAAGCGTTCCAAAGCACCAGCGTAAACTCGCACAATTCCATCAATCCCAACACAAATAATGGCTCCCTTTTCGCCGAAACGATTCAAAACGCTAACGTCACCTCGGCCAATCCGGACCTCATATTTTTTAACCGAGTCCCCAAAGTAGGGAGCACCATGATGATAAATCTGATCAGAAGACTGTCCTTCCGAAATGGGGTCGCCTTCTTTCAAGACGCCGCCCACCCCGGGATGCAGGCCAGGCTGAATTGTGCCCAGGAAGCCGACCTTGCTCACCTCCTCTGCCAGCTGCCCAAACAATCTCCTAGCGTGTACACTAAGCATGTCGCCATGGTCAACTTTGCGCGTGGAGGGGGTGGTTGCGACCACGTCGTGTACATTAACATGGTGCGGGATCCCGTCGAGCGGATGATTTCATGGATTACTACATGCGGTTGGGAGGGGTTAGAAACTTTGTCGCTAAAATGAGGAAGAACAACAAGCCGGAGGACGAAAAGTGGTTGCAGAGGGTAATGTATTCAAATATGTATGATTACAAATTTCAAATAAATTACCTGTTGTAAAATTTCCTAGGATTTTTCCTCCTGTGTGCTCCAAAATGATGACGAGTGTCGATTTGAGGGGGCACATGAAAATGTGTGGAGTCAAATGATGTTCTTTTGTGGGATGGATGAGCGGTGCAAGTAAGGAATTTTTAAGCAGCAATAAACTGTCGTTTTCTCATTTGGACAGTTTAAGTTTTCAATGTTAGTCCCCACTATTAAGAATTCAGACCCGTTTTGTCCGGCCTGGAGAGTTTGGCCGTGGTACGGCCTCACTATGTCCCCAAACATTATTGAATCCCTGATTTACCTAGTGTATTTTGCTGCTGACCCTGATCTTATCTAGTGTATTCCATTTAATTTCTGATCTTATCTAGTGTATTTTATTGTTGACCCTGACGATACGGCCCCTTGGGCCGTACGGCCTGGAGAGTGTCTCTCCACCTCTCTCCAATGTCGCTACGGCGCTGTTAGAATTACCCATTTGAACGATATATATGCATAAGTCTCAATTACGTGAACTGTGTATACTAAATACAGCGTAAACGATACTCCTTGTCAAGATAACTTTGGTCTCGATTTCGAGTTTACATATTTACTTACATAATTTAGAATTCGTATTGCATTTTGTGTTGAAAAAATTGAAAATTATAACATTATTTGAAGAGTGTATGAATACGAATTTGAAACTTTACTTTTGCCATTTATTTGTATAATTCCAAATAACGAAATGAAATTTCCATAATAAAATTTGTACTTTTTCTACGTGACTAAATTTCATATAGCGAGAAGAACGGTGCGTGGGCGTTGAGCAGAGCGATGGAAAACGTGGACAAATATTATTCCGTGGTGGGCGTCTTGGAGGAACTCGACCTCAGTCTGGAAGTCTTTGAGGCCTACATCCCCCGTGTTTTTGCCGGTGCAAGGGAAACTTATCTCAAAAACAAGGAAACGATGGTCTCTATTAATAAAAATCAGGAGAAACCCAACATTCCCGAAGAAGTTAAGCAGCTAGTCCGTGACGAAATGGGAAATGAGGTCAGGTTCTACGAATTTTGCAAACAAAGGTTGCATCGACAGGCAAAATTTGCAAAATTAGTGGTAACATAAAATAAGCAAGGTTTGCTAAATAACGGATCTGAGTATATAGAAAATATGTAAAAATTAGGATATCAAAATTATGCAAAACATTATATTCCAGAGTAGGGTATACCCCAAAAGTATGTAGCAGATGAAATATAAAGGGTGTTAATAAAGTCCGATCCCATGAATTTTTTGGAGCGCGGTTGTTACAAATTCAGCTGGAACTTTTGAACCAGTGAAGTTATTTATTTCAAATTTTTACCATGGGAGGAACAACTAAACGTGTAAGTCATGAGCATCTTAGAGTTAAGATACAAACATTGCATCAGCAGGGGTTTAAACCTGCAGAAATTGTGCAAAAATTGGGCTGCAGCCGCAGAACTGTTTGGAAATGGAAGAACAAAAATTTTGTCCACGACAAAAAGCGACCCGGGCGACCCAGAAAGGTGTCACCTACCACAAAGAGAATGATTAAAAACAGACTTTACAAGAAAACCGGTAGTTCATTACGTAATTGTGCAAGGGAGTTAAATGACTCAAAACGCTATAAAGAGAAGAAGAAGCAAATTAACTATGTGACCGTGCAAAAATTTGTGAAATCTACGAGGTGGGGTCACACAGCTTACAAACTAACCAAAAAACCTCTCATGTCACAAAAAAATATCGATGACCGTCTGAAATTTGGAGAACTCCTTCAGAAAAGTGGCCATTTGAGTGAAAAAAGACTTGGTGAAGAATTGCGCAGTCACATCCTTTGGACTGACGAATCTATTATTGAGCTATATCCAAAATTGAACCAACAAAATGTTCGTTACAGGACAGAAAACAAATCGGATGTACCATCAAGAGCAGTCCCAAAATTCGGGCTTAAAGTTATGGTAGCGGGTGGATTTTGTGCACGTGGCGTGACTCCTCTACATATCATACCAAAAGGCCAAACAGTCAATGCAAAGTATTATATGGAAAAAATATTACCTATCTATTTCGATAGCATGGGGAACAAGGAAATATTTCCGAATGAAAGAAAAATAGTTTTCATGCAGGATGGTGCTACAGCCCATACAGCAAAAGCGAGTTTGAGTCTCATCAAGACGCAAGTTTCAACGGTCTGGAGCAAGGGGGTGTGGCCCGGAAACAGCCCAGATTTGAATCCCCTGGAGAACCTGTGGTCCATACTTAAGGAAAATGTATACAAATAACCACAACCCCGGACGAGGGAAGAGCTAGTAAAAAAAGTTCAAGATGTATGGAATTCGATTCCCACAGACACATTGGAAAAATTAGCACAGAGCCTTAAACAAAGAGTTGAGGGCATGGTTAAAGTAAATGGTAACAAGACCAAATACTAAGGTAAATATGTCGAACATTTTTTGTAAGTATCACGGGTAGTTTTTTTTATACTAGCCTTCACTTTTTTATAGGAAAAATGGGATCGGACTTTATTAACACCCTTTATAATTTTACCATTTTGCATATTCAAATAAATAAATTTGCACTCTGTTGAGTCTACATACATAGTTTTCCTAAATACGGTTTTCACAAGCCAAAAGGATTTTCGTCTCACACTACTCATATTCAATGAAAATTTCTGAAAAATAATCTCGCCGTTTCAAAAATTAATTTACAAATGCATAACGTTCGCTATTTAATGGGAAACAATGATAAAAAATGACGCAAAATCTCAAAAATATAAATGTTCATACGGCTCAATGCCTTGCAGCTTCCACGGGTGCTTATATACGATACGTGAACGATGATGCTCACTATATCCAGGGCAGGTGCACAGTGTGCGGAACATTAAAAAAGCGGACACATTATTTTCAGGTCCGAGCCCCAGTCGGGGCATTATTTTTATTTGCATTTTTGTTGACTTTTTAAGGGTGGAGCGTTCAGAAACTACCATCCCTTTGAACTAAATACGATGACCTGGTGACCGTGTGGACGGAATGAAAAGTGAAAAGTATCAAATTTTCGCACTTTTCATCCCATCCACACGGTCACCAGGTCATCGTAGTTCAAAGGGATGGTGGTTTCTGAACACTCCACCCTTAGAAACTCAACAAAAATACAAATAAAAATAATGCCCCGACTGGGGTTCGAACCTGAAAGTAATTTGTCCGCTTTTTTGGTGTTTCGCACACTGTGCCCCTGCCCTGGATATATTGCAGAGCAAATATTTCTGTGGGAGGGAAAAAGACTCAGTTTGGCCTCATTTACATCACGAAGTATACGAGAGCGGGAGATTTTCCATCCCAGAGAAATAATTTCTTTACAATAGTGAGCATCATCATTCACGTATCGTATATAAGCACCCGTGGAAGCTGCAAGGCATTGAGCAGTACACTTGATGGGATCGAGTGAGTTTGCTGGGGACCGATCGAGGCTGAAGCATGAAAATGTTGGTGAAAAATTGAAAGTATTTTATAAAATCACTTAAGGGGAGAGAAAAAAGTTCCAGTTGGAGAAAAAAAATTTAAACAACTTTTTCGCCCCCAAAACACAAAAAAACTGCAAAAAATGCCCTTTTTGGGGGTAAACAAATAATTTTACGCGGTGAACCACATTGGACCGCATTCCCCATAATTATTTACATTTTTGACCTGAAAATCAAAATTTTGAACAAAATTGTGAAAATTAGTGGTTGACCCTACCCATAAGTCGGATTGAGTAAATTATTTAGGGTGCGGATTAGTAAGAAACCCTTGACTCCAGCAAGAAAGTGAGTTTCTCACTACGTCAGCCTCAACCGCACGGTACAAAATTTACTCAATCCGACTTATGGGGAGGGTCAACCACTAATTTTCACAATTTTGTTCATTATTTTGATTTTCAAATAAAAAATGTAAATAATTAATGCGAATATGGTCCAATGTATTTCACCGCGTACAATTATTTGTGTACCCCCAAAAAATGAATTTTTTCAGTTTTTTTGTGTTTTAGGGGGGAAAAAGTTGTTTAAAATTTTTTTCTCCAACTGGACGTTTTTTCTCTCCCCTTAAGTGATTTTATAAAATACTTTCAATTTTTCATCAACATTTTCATGCTTCAGCCCCGATCGGTCTCCAGAAAACTCACTCGATCCCATCAAGTGTACCATAAAATACAAATTGTTTTCAGACATGATGATTGAAACAAGTTGCTCAACCAGTCTCATTTTCGCTTGTCAAATTTTTACCGATACACTAACAATTATAAAGCTTATTAATCCTATAAATATCACTCCAGTCGAGACCAGGTTTCCCCCAGGGGTCGTAAATTGGCCGGCCGTCCTTACTCTTCATCGTCGGGCTGACCCCGTCCTTGGAAAAGGCCGTCTCCCCGTAGTGCATGATGCTGTCGATATCATACCCGTTAATCAGCCACTCTTTTGACGCAGGCGTTTTAACAAATAGTCGCTCAGATCCTAAAAATGCGATAAAATATTTGTTTACCATGAAAACGCGTGTGGTGAACATCTTAGATTTTTGAAAGTGCAATTTGAATTTGATTCCGAAATAACCTAATTTATTTTTCTAATTGGGTTTTGTCAGTTTCTGAATTTGAAAAAGTGCTAAATTCAGAATGTTTTTTTTTGAAGTTCGTTGTTCGTTGGCTCATTTTTATTTTTCAACAAATTAAATCAGTCCAGAATAACGCTGGGATTTATACTTCACGCCGAAACCTTGTCCATATTCCAAAATCGTTTAGGCTAGATTCATTTAGGAAGGTCCATATATTACGTCATCAAACAAAACAGTTTTTTTTACATTTGCCAACCCACTTCTTGTCAAGTGCTAAGTTAATGGGAGAGGGTGCCAGAAACTATTCGCCAGTTGATGACGTTGTATGTGGATGTTCCCATCATAAAAATATGCAATACCTTGTTGAATATTCTCCCACAAAACGTCGATATATTCATCCCTGTCGATCCTATTGTGTTCGTGGTGGAAACCGACCGTGTGACCCAGCTCATGCACCACAGTCCCGATGAACAGACAGCCCCGCCCCAACCGCAATATTTGCTTTCCCCGCCTTAAATTCCCGACAAAAGTTGAACACCCAGCGGTCCCCTGCTCGATGTAGAGGTAATTCACCTCCGTCGTCCGAGCTACAAATTTGACGCAGGTGAAATCCTCGTACTGTTGCATAGCCTCCAGGATAAGGGGCCAATTCCTTTCTAAGATAATTGATCAAAGTTTATGCGATTTTGGGATTTATGTATGTAAAATTTCTATTTTAAACTGCAAAATTTTAGATTACCAAAAAATTGATTAATTAAAAAATGCATACATTAGTTTCTATTTTAACTTCAAAATTTACTACAATTACCAAAATATTCGTCAATTTCGTACGGAATAACGCCCCCATCCCACAGTCGCTCTGCCGTCGTTATGGCTCCCTTAAGTGTCCCATTATTGAAAAAATCGTTGTCGTAAAATAACATATCTCCGACTTGAATAATTCCTTCCTCGAGGCCTCCTTCAAATTGACAATTCCACTTCAGTCCAAATTCATTTACGCAAACTTAAGTTTTAAGAATTAAGTTTCTTTCAGAATTACCTGCTTTCCTGTGTCCACTAGTGTTCCCAATTTTATCAAACGAAGAATCCAAACCAGTACATGTTACAAGCTTCTGACGTAATAAGACCGAAATTACTACTGCGATTAAAAACATGTTCCCATTTTCGGCATAATCCCCCTAGCTCTCTGTCCTGTAATTGCTCACCTGCACAATTACAGAACAAACAAACTAAAGTAAAGGTACTTTCGTACATTAGCTATTGTACCTACATAAATTTATTGTAATTAAGGCATTGAACCAATGCCAGACAAATCAAATCAAGTCTGTTCCAGAGAACCGTGACATACATACTTCCTTTTGTTATGAAAGTTTCATAATGTATCATAAACGTATTATTATTTTCAGCAAAAGTGAGGCAGGTTATACACTAAAGTGGTAAACTACAGCTGTATGTAGATAAATATGTACCCAAAATGACAATGGGGGTAATTAATAAAAGCGGATTATTTGCATTATGAAGGTTAACTACCTCTCAATGCAGTTCACTAAAGTCGCAATTCGTTCGAGTTCCACTCCTGCTGCCATCCCCTAGACGAAATGACATACTCTCCACTTCCCTCCACTACCTACGAGCCGCCGAACCTTAATAAAATTCATGCCCCCCCCCGCCTCTAGTGGAATTTTGGTCGATCAGTTGTCCAGATATTACATTTGAATTTGTATCACACATTTACATATGCACGGCGGAGTCGAGTTGGTTATCATACTTTTGGATAATGTATCCAAACCGAATCCGAATCATTCGGTTCGGTTTGGATATTTTTTTAAGCGAAAAAGTCGGCGTCGATTCGGATGAATATTTGCTGATAATTATTTGAAGCCTTGGTGCTGCTGAAAGGTAACACTAAATTAGTGTCACTAATTGTCTGCTGTTTCTTTGTATTCCGGTTAACTTCGTGCCGTCCAAATAATTAGTAACGATTTTAATTAATTATTTACACAAATCTAAATAATCTAATATTTTATTTATTATTTATTGTTTAAATGAAATTTAAAATTTGGCGGTTGTTTACTATTTATAAATTACATAATTCTGAGAACAAAAATTATTTGTTATTTAAATAATTCATTCATTATTTAGCACAACTCTGTGCAAAAGTGCAATTATATTTAATAAATATATATGAATAATATGTGTTATTTACATAAATCTCTTCACCCATAAATGCTCCCACATGTCTACATTAACATTATCTAAATTTGTTATTCTTTTAATAAAATCCAGCTACACGAAACAAGACCGGCTTCCTTGCATCGTATATTTTTTACACTCCGTTACTTTGATTGTGAATCTATTATCGCCTCCTTCATCCCTTCAACCCTAAAGCCATTATAACTAATTCCATACGAATCCTGCCCCTCCTCAAAAACTTTGACGGCATCCATCTCATAAACTTTATGCGCAGCCTTTGCTATCTCCCCGGTCATCCGTTCTCTTTCCTGTGTATCGATACTTTTCCAAACTTGAGCCTCAATACGAACCAAGTAACAGTTTGGAACAATTTTTAAAAAAGTCGCGTACTCTTTGTCACTCCGACAATGCCACTTATCTTCAATAATATGGTGACGATTGACCCTTAATCCCGCATTTTTTAATGCAACCACCATTTCCTCGAGTTGCGACTGAATTGTTCCTAACTTCAAATATTTTAAGGATTCTGGCAATAAAGTGCAAATTGGTCGCATCCCGATCACATTTAAGTAGAAGACGCCACCCGGTTTCAATAAGCGGGTCAAGTTTTCCATGACCTGTTGAATGTCGGTTATCCAGTGGAGGACATAATTAGAAAAGGCGAGGTCGACCTGCCCCTCGCAGGATTTAGTTTCCTGGCAAAGGTTTTCCCATGGGGTGGCGATGTCATCGATGACGTAGGTAATCGTGTCGGGACCTAAAGTGTTATTCAAAATAACACTTTAATTGAAATTAATATAGACCAATTCTAATCCTAATCTTAATCCAAGAAACTAATCCTTAATCCCTAATCTAGGGCATAAAACCATTTAATCACCCAACTCTGGTTATTTCCAACAGCGAAAGCAATCATATCTGGATCCTTGTCAAAAGCATGGAATTTCTCGTGCGGAATTTTCTCTCGTAGGGCATTCGTCACGTTACCAGTTCCACAGCCGATGTCCATTATGAGAGAAAAAATTCTAGGAAATTGGAGAAAGTTAGAATTTCCGGAAATTTATTTAAATTTTATTACCGTGTCGGATGATCCAGCAAGATTTGATTAATCATCACACTACCCTGGTCAACTTGTATGCTGTTGGCTGTGTTGTAATGTTCTGGATTTAGATTGGCCATCTTTGTGTGCGGAAATTTCGGGTGGAAAATATTTAAGTATTTCTGAATGGCTACCAGGGGATGAATTATACTGAAGGGAAAGATGTTAAATGTTTGAGAGCAAGATTATGTATGCAGATTAGGCCAGGCTTTTATATGAATTTTTTTCTTGCAATTTGATCGCCTCCTAAATTGTTGTCAACCTTGAAGATCGCGCTGGGATGAATAACGTATGTATGATGCGTGATTGGTATATGAAGTTTGAGAAGGCATCGATATATGTAGATATTTAAGGGAATATTTTCTTGAATCAGGTTCAATTAAGTACTACACTCTCAAAAATGTACCATACTTCTCGAAAAGTAAAAAAGATTGTAACCCTGAACTGAGCATACGAAGGTATTTTAAAAGTAAATCCAGTTGCTCTAATATTAGTAAGCGATCCTTTTAACTCTTAAAGAACCATACTTGAGAATAACTTAAAAATGAGTCCACGACTACTCCAATTAAAGTTAATCGAACTTTATTCCGAGTAAGCCTGCCGCAATTCGCCCACCCTTCTTGATTTCTACCTTGGAGTTTGTTAGTCTATTCCAGACTTACATACACATTTCCCTCGTGAATTCCGAAATTTAAATTCCCATTTCAAAAGTTTCAAAAATGTGTGATACGGAAATCCAAAGATTATTAATTCCACTTAATCTTGGAAAATACTGTTAATTGTTTAAAGGTAAGATTCATTCCATTCTCTATTTTTACAAAATAAACCCAAACTTTTGCACATTTTTTAACATAGATAATAATCTAACCGGATTCTTTACAACACCTTCAAAAAGATGACCTCATCCACGTCGTCCCACCTTTTCAACCTAATCTTCCACCCATTGCCAAGGACAAATTGATTGGACAAATTATGCAGAATATTTAACTCTGTTTCTCAGGTTGTTTAGTGTTAATATCTCATTTTTTGCCATGCTGTAATATTATTTTTAACCTACATACATATGACAGTAATTGGATTGTAAAACTTAATAGTTGTGAAATAATAAATAATCAATTACATAAATATATATTTGCCATTTTTAACTGAACTTTTAAATTAGTAAGGCGAGCCCCGGACAGAGTAAGTCATATACTCCAAACCGTGTTCACGTTTACTTAGAATCGGGCAAAATTGCATCATATAGGGTAACATCTTACTATGTGTCGTTCAAGCCCTTTGCATAATTTGGAGCATGCTACAACTCTGAGCGGAGTAAGTACGCTTACTCCAGACTAGTTGCTACACGCATTACTCCGGGCAGCGTCGAAGCACTTTGACTACGTATTAGAGTGACATTTTACTTCATTCGAAGTGAAAATTTTTAAGAGTGTAAATATGTGTGACAAAAGAAGTTTACTTGTGAAAAGAGCAATTATGGCAAAATATTAGAAGAACGCCACTAGTATTTTTCCCACATGGGATAATGTTAAAATATGAATGCTGGGGAAGATAGATCAAATTTAACTACGTATTTGTTTGTCACATTTTTTTGTATGACCGACGTTACTAATTGTTGTCAACTCAACGACATTGGTTTTCATAAATACGTAGTAAAAACTTGTTCATCAGACACAAAAAAGACAAAAAAGATAGACACACGTGTAGTTATTGTGATTATCACAACAACTTCTTGTGTTACTGGTTTGCAAACCAGTTACCAAATTTTTTTTACACCAAACGTTTAGTCTAAAAAAAATTTCATTTTTTTTCAAGTCAAATACATATGTATGTATGTACTTATTTTTTGCGATTATGCATCTTACACTACTGAATCTCTGCGAATGCATTACTTTACTACTGGAAATACATAATACAGTGAGCAAAAAAAAGTGAATACATGGTTGGGAGGCTTGGTGCGTCATCATTTATAAATTGAATCGCAAAAATATTATGGAAATGGTAGTTGTCCGATTTTATGGTAAGTTTAATCAGGTTTTCAAAAATGGCAACCATTTTTTATGAAAGTCTCTTGTTCTTTCAAAATCTCGCAAGAAGTTGAGGGAGAACTCAATTTTAGGTAAAAAAGTGAATGCACTGTGTGCTTGATTTAGGATTTCCTTAGGAGGGGAGCTTGCGAGGTTGATAATAACAGATCTCGATGCCCTTTGTATCTGTGGTAGGGTCCTATGAGTGTACTAAAACCCTGAAGTGGTTTGACTCCATGGCCACATTTGCGCCCGCCACACCCACTCAAAGGCGCCCAAAAAACGCTTTCACTCCACTTTTCACTCACTCAAATCCACGCCAAAAATCTAATTTTACTCGGATTTTGAAATTTCTTTCACCATTATACTCCCAGATAGTTGCTTTCTTCAATACAATATCAAACTCAATTTTGCTGATTATTATTTCGCAAGCATAATTTGCCTTGTTGATTACTATAACAATGCTCATTCAGAATTTTAAATTTTAAAAATAGTAAAAATTTCTAAAAAATTGAGTTTGATATTGGATTGAAGAAAGCAACTATCGGGGAGTATATTGGTGAAAGAAATTTCAAAATCCGAGTAAAATTGGATTTTTGGCGTGGATTTGAGTGAGTGAAAAGTGGAGTGAAAGCGTTTTTTGGGCGCCTTTGAGTGGGTGTGGCGGGCGCAAATGTGGCCATGGAGTCAAACCACTTCAGGGTTTTAGTACACTCATAGGACCCTATCACATATCCAAAGGGCATCAAGATCTGTTATTATCAACCTCCCAAGCTCCCCTCCTTAGTGATCTTTTTGTTAAAAAATTTAAAAATCGCTTTATTAGTTCACCCTGCGTAGCATGAGAGCTATTGAATTCTTCTTGTCTGTTCGTCCGTCTGTCTGTCTGTCAGTTACAATCCATGACGCTAATGTCCGAACCTAGATATTCGGAAATTCGATTGCGAAAGGACTACAAAGAAATAAGTAGCACCATTAGTATTTAACAAACGGTTGTCCAAAATGGTGCTAAGCAAACGGGAGCATTGATGGAAAACGCACCAAAAGTGCAGAATAACAGACAGACGGACGGATGGACGGACCAGAGGAATTCAATAGCTCTTATGCTACACAGGGTGAGCTAATAATTATGAACGGATGAAAGGTTTCCTAATTTCAATTCATTCATAGTCTTCATTTAGGACGTATTTCATATTTACATCCACTGTGCCACATTTCCACTCGATATGACGATTTTCAAAAATCGGTGGTATGGGTCCGTCCCCCAGGGTCTCTACAGACAAAATTTCAATTTAAACTCCTCCATTTGGACGCATTTACACACTGTGTACATAATTTCTACGACAATTTTGAAATTATGGTTCAAAATACCGCACCCAACCCACTCCGATAACTCCCACCGGTCAACCAGTGGACTGATTTCGCCCATCTTCGAACTCGTTTCCTAACTTTGTTTAATATGCTTATGGTAAAAATTGCAAGTCAACCGGTCAACTAGTTCGATAGTTGTCGAAAGACGGACGAACAGACGGTGAGACAGACGGACGGACATGACAATAAGGTATATAAAAGTCCAAGTTCGGGCATCAAATTATCAAAAACTTTTAATCCTAATGAATTTAAATTTTTTTGCATTGTCCAAACTTAAGAAATACCTTCAGTCCCTTATTGTAATAAATAATAAATTGTAGGCCAGACCTTTTAAAAATTATTTCAGGAAAGCAATTTTAAGCAAACATTTTTAATTTCAGAGTTAACAATTCAAAAGTTAGCGTTTAAAAAATCTGCATGATTATTTAAAAATTACGACAGACAAGAGATGCCTCCATTGTAATTAATTGCCACCGACGAACTTTTTCTTGAAAAATGAGCCAAGTTATGAACCAGTGAAGTGAGGCAGTACATTTTTAGGGAATGTGAAATCAAATTCACCAATCCGACATCCGGATTCCAGAACCGATGACTAATGTCGGATTGATCCGATCGGATTAAGCAGTCAATCCGATCCGACTGAATTAGGATCGGGTCAGGAAAAAATGCAATACGATACTAATCCGCGGATTTCGGATCGGATCGGTTTACTTCGGATCGGATTGCCTCTCCTAAAATTAAGCATGCAATGATGTAGATAAATAATTGGTTTTATACAGACCGGTCACTAAATATGATAGCAACAAATTAATATTTACCGGTTTCTCCTTTGTAATCTAATTTTCACGATTCTAAAAAAATGTCTTTAGCAAAATAGCCTCCATAAACGAAATGAATTTTAAGGTATGCAAATTTGTTTATTAATCATACTATGTGTATGGAATTAGACATTTATCAATTAATGAATGGAGATATCCGCGCATGCGCGGAAGGTTTGTTGCTCCCCGCATCCGTGCCCGCCAGGTGGGTTTCCAGAGTTGTAATCGCACTCACAAATCCGAGATGGAGGATTTTCACAAGTTCCCCAATTTTGCGCGCCCCTCCAGTGGAAACGTAGGACGCACCGGTCACAGGTGACCCCGGCGGGAAGTTGGGCACTGAAATGTAGCTCAAAGTCTCCCCCACCAAGGCTCATCTGCCACATGTTGTCCCCATTGCTGAGCATTAGGGTTTGGAAACAATCTTCCGTCTCTGGGACGCGATTACAAAGTTGGATTTCAAGACCTCCCCCGTGGGGAGCGTAGGATTGCAGGTAGAGCGGGATCATCTATGTAAAAACCAGTAATTTTTTTCTGAAACTTCAATCATAGGTACATGTTCATATTCATTCATTTAATGAGGAATGAATGAATTATTCATTCAATATTCCAGATTTTGAATGAATATTATATTCTGATTTGTTAGTAAATGAATACCTATTCAATTCGCGTGAATAAATAATGAATGAATATTTTTGTCATCATTCATTTTTAAATCAATGCTTAATAAATAGGGAAAGTTGAATAATTCATATAATAATGTGAATTTTGAATAACATGAATAATGAAGGAATGGTGAATAATGAATAAATGTTGAATAATTATTGAATATTTTTTTCCAAATTATGAATGAAGAAGTATTTTTTCAAAGCTTTGAATGAATGCACCTTAAATGAATAAATATTTTTTGAACACGTACGACTTCAATTAATATTAATTTACTAAATACAGACCTGTCCAGCCGTGTAATTTCTGACGACAACATCCCTCCAAGCGGACCCACCGTACTCATAAGGCCTTGGAGTCGGGGCAGAGACAGGGTCGCCACAAACCCCACACCTATTGTCGACCACATTTTGACGAATGTTGGCGCACCACATTTCATCGTCGTTCCCAACAATTACGGGGTTGAGATAGTTGTATTCCTCAAACCGCCAGAGGGAAGGGCGTCCCGGGGGATCGAGGAATCTCATGTGGGCTGACGCCATGGCCACCACGGTCGCAAGGAAGATAAATTGACGTAGAGAGAACATTGCGATGATTTAACTAGTCAAAAGTTGACTGTGCTTTGGTTCATTGGCAATCGTCACTTATATTGGGGCTGTTATCAGTGCACGAGTGGATAAGTATCTTATGCTGTCAGTAAAGAATTTATAATTAATTACAACATTCTGTTATATGTACAAAAACTGTGAGGTTTTGCGTTGCGTTTTGCATTGTAAAATATTTAAAGTCAAGTGAGTGATTGATAAATAACATAAGTAATTCTCGAGTCACGAGTACTTAACGTGCTTATTTGCACCCGAACTCGTAGAGGTGAGCAAATCTTGATAAGAGTTAATTGAGACATTGATTGAATATGTAATCAGAATATCGTTTCGGCTTAGGGAATGTGCATGCATTATGTCAGGCAGAAATCCCGATTTTCTAAACCCCCCCCCCCTTCCCCACCCCTCTTCTCACGGGTTACACCCAAATGTAACACGTGGTGCAAGTTATATGCAAAAACTTTGTAGCCTGCCTCCCCTCTGTACACAATTGATGGAACACCCCTAACAACATAAGCTTGAAAACAAACTATAAATCTGCCCATCAGTCAATGTCATCCGATCACCACTGTGTAGCATGTGCCGTTTTAAATTATTTTAGGCATGTCCAGCCAGAGATACAAGAGGGTAAAATAAATCAACTCAAACCATCGAAAGGCTTGTCCATGCCATGATGTCATTGGTTTGCTGTGTGGTGATAGTACACACTTAAAATTTTGTTGTTATTGAAAAATAAATGAATATCACAGTGTGATGGATAGATCTAGTGCCACAAATTACTTTTACTTAAAGTCGAGTGGCCATCAGGGTTCCGTTTTTTTCGTCAAAAACTATTTCTTACTACAACAGGCGGGAAAAAGTGGGAAAAACGGGGTTTACCGTCCAAAAAGAAAAAATATGACTATTCATGTATTTAGTTATGGGGAGAGCTAACTTGTTTAATAATAAACATTTTTTGAATTGAACTTCATATTCGTCATCTTTATGAATTTATGAAAATTTTGATATGTAATACAGGCACTTTTTGACCAATTTTGATTGTTTTTCCAATTTCTCCACATGAATACGTGTTAATTTTAGAGAAAATTCGAATTGAACCGTATTACCATCTTATTTTCTCAGAATTTGTTGGAGAATACGAATATAAAGTCCAATTTTGAAAATTCCATGGTTTAAAGAAGTTGTTTTGGATTGCCCCACACCAAAGTTTTTCCCATTTCCTCCATTTTTCCAATTTCCTACCTATTTTGGGTGGGTGGTAAAATTGTCTCACTTTTCCCCGCTGCCCTGGTCAATTTGTTTTTACCAATCGAAACCCTGGTCGATATAACTTGACGTTCAATTCATAAGCTGTACACTTTGGTATTTATTTAGTAGATTTTTATTTTTATTTTTACATTGCACACTGGTCCGGATTGCTTTATTTGCTTGCCAAAACCTCTAGCTCTCGAACCATTCCATTTTTTCGAATTCTGCCTTGGGAATGGAGATATGAAGTTCCAAGGGGAGTTAGTAATGCAGCTTTAACTGACCACCACCCCCTCTTGGGGGTGTGGTCACAGGTCCATATTTATTTTCTCGCATTACCTAATCAAGTGGGGTGTCATTTGAAATGTCTGATCAAGCTCTAAACAACTCCGACTATTATTTGAACATTATCGGCACACCAACTGCCAGGGGGTGTGGTCAAAACACAAATTTGAAAGTTTTGTTTCGATAATTTTGAAGATGTATTTTCATGAAATGACAATATTCTATAGTTTTATGAAGTATTTCTTCTCTCTAACTTAATTAAAAAAGAAAATTAGACCAAAATTATAAATTTAGTTATGCCTCCTCAGGGGGCCACCACTTTATAAAATTCCCCCGCTCGTAATACATTTTTTCGAGGGGTTTGTTTTACCATATTTCCTTCCCCAAGGAATAGGCAATATATTTTGAAGCGATTGTGTTATTTGGAACACTGGAAAATTTCATACGTGACAATGATTGGAGCACTTCAGATATTTTGCTTACGGCAATTTGCTATTACATAAATCCAAATCTCTCTGTCAATTTGCAAAAGGGGCAAAAAGGGGCAGCAGTTTTCATAGATGAGATGTAAAGGTTTAATAATACATTGATGGTTCCTCGAAATACCACAGGACTAGACAGGATTTTCAACTTGAAGTTTTTCCCATTTAGCCAAATGTTACAAGGCAAGTTTAGGCATACGCAACGCCATAACCAGTAGAACAATTCAAATGAAACTTTCCAAAATTGAACATCTATGTCAAAGGTACTGAACACGGTACTTTGTTTTCGGATTGGTGAGAATAGGTTTTGGCCAACAAATTGAGTATTCCGGACCAGCGTGCATTGTATTGTTCATGTTTAATACTATATATTTATATACATTTTTAAAGTTTTAAAAATGGATTGAAGTGTACGATTTATAAATTTGACGTCAAACGGCATAGATATGGCCACCAAACTTTGCAAAAGTTATTTGTAGCACTATCGATCACTTTGTGACATTCGCTAATTCTTAAATAATAACAAAATTCTAAGTGTGCACTACCACCACACAGAAACTCTCTTGTGTCTCTGGCTGGATATGAACGATATCATTTGGTCTTTGTAATGATCACGATTATCCGTCGTGTCACGAGCTCATACCAGATTTCTAATGTCTTTAATAATAAATTCAGTCTAATGCTTTATACACATAAAATAATATTGATTATCATGTGTTATCTTTATTGTCGTCTTTTTATAAATTCAAGTTCAAGTTTTGTTACTATAGTAGAATAATTTATAATCTGTGCCTGTGTCGCTGCTATTATTATAGATCCCTTAATCAAGGAAAGTTAAGTCGATTTCACCACTTTGGTGGAGCGGTATTAATGTACGGCTTGAATCCGCGCCCATCTGTAGGTTCAATCCCTGCACCGGGCGTACGTGCCCCCATTATCTTTATCATTTCCTCGAGATTATAATTATTGCGTTCGATACTTTCAATCTCCCATTCCTCCGATGACGATTCTTCGGAAGTTGTGTCGGTTTGAGCAGCACTGTCACCGTAAATGTCAATTTCATCGTCACTGGCAATTTCCAATGAATCGAGCGTTTCAAATGTACTGGTTGAAAAATTAAGTAAATTTTCGATTAAAATCAGTCCTTCACTTGCTAAGTCGTTTAGATTTAAACCACTGTCAATTATAGGTACTCCAGCGGTGTCATATTTTAGTTTTACTAATTCTAGTAATAATTCGCACACTTTAATGATTTTCGACATATTTAGAGTGGTAATTGCTAATATGATTACTTAATTGAACAATTTTCAGAGAATTTTTAACAAAAGAGAAAAAGCTGATGACTAAAATAACAACAGGATTTAAGTATTTGGTGCGCAAACTGGGCAAACTGATCTTACCACTTCGCACAATGTCATCAACATGCATCAATTTTTTTCATTCATTTAACTAAATTTTCTTACATTTAATTAAATTTCAGGTAAACATAAGTTACCAAATTTATCAAACATAAGTTACTGATGGATTTCCTTACGTCACACAGATCATAATGACCGTCACAGGTGCTTAGTGTATAGTAGGGGGCACGACCGCCCCCATCTCCACACGCTCCCACTCCGCCTATTCCACCCCCACTTTCGCCAACTTTGAAGGCTATTAAAAAATTGGCAAATTGGTTTTGCAGAAAAATGTTTGCACTTTGAATCAAAACATATCATGGTACATGCAAAAAGTTAAATTAGAACTCATTTTTCAACTATCATAGAAAGGGTATCCCTAGTGAGTGAGATTTAGTGAGATTTAATGATATACACCCGGTAGACAAAAGTATTGGTTGTTTTTTATGTCACATCTTCATATGCATATAAAACCTTCATATGTTACTGACATTGGTCAAATTTTTTCTCGATGGCACATAACTTCATTACCTTCAAACAGGGTATTTCAACATTTTAACATTCAAGTATTTTTGACACAATTAATTACAAACCATTAGAAAACGTGTGATGGAGTGAGTCATAAGTATTGGTCATTTCAATTTTCACTGTTGTAACTTGATGAACTTACAAATCCGACATGTAAACTAATTTTTTGATTCAATACTTCTTTGCTGTTAGATTTAAATCATTTGCGGACAAAAAATTATGAAACTGCTGGAATTGGATATTGTGAAGTGTGAACAGAAACGAGGTGTCTACACAGAGGTTGAAAGTGCTCAAGGATTTTTACAAAAAACTTCTGAAAACCATCTGAAAATAAGATACTGTATATGTGACAATAACAGGACCAGAAACAGGTTTGGTCACTAATAAACCATAGTCTGGACATATGAACGTAACAAAACCACGCTAGAATACGAATATTGTGAATATTTCTACAGTTGGTTATGAAATCACTGCCCTGAATCGGAGTAAAAACGTAAGTACTGAGAAAAGCAGTAGTTAACCTCGAAGCTAATTGGTCGAAGGTTGCCTGATGCAAGTTTGAAGTTTAGACGACTGCCACAAAATAAGTTAGGTACCAGGAAAGCAAATATCAATAATTTGAGATGGACAAATTAAAACTATACCTAAATAACTAAGTGTTGGTTTAAGGAACGGTACCTAGATGAAGTTAAATTTCGCGTTTTCAGGAACAATGGGTCCAGGTTGACTAGGTGACGGCCAGGAAATTTAGCAAAAAATTAATTCCTAAATAACACAGTGAAAAATCAACAAGGCGATGAATTTGCTAAGCTTGTTTTTGTTTATTATTACTAATACCTATTCCTAACTTTTGATGTCCCCATATTATTTTGAGTTTAATGACCTAAATTTGTGTAGATGGTCCCGCCCAACTTAACTAAAGCAAAAAACACGAAGTCCGCATCCATTTTCGTACAAAAAATTTAAACCAATCAGTACACTCCGACCAGTAAAACCAGGACACCTAACATTTATTCATATCGGAAGGAGAGCATTGCCCATTTAATCGGGTTCAAATTAATTGAAACACCTTCCACGCATTGTAACTGCTGTACATGTGTACGTACATACTTACATATGCGTATCAATGTTGCAGAGAATGGGGACAAGATTAACCACAAGTTGGCCAAACATAGGTACATACAAATGTACATATGTACGTATTTAGCTATAAATATTATTTATGACTACATGGCCTTTTGTGCACAAATTTGGGTACGTACACATCCAATCCAGTACTTTGGTTTTAAAATATGTAAGGTTGTCGAAATCTTTCCCTGAGAAGGCAGAATTTCCAGCACAATAAAAATTAAGCATTATTCTGTCTGAAAAAAATTCCTAATTTATTTTATTTGCTGTAAATTTAAATACGATATGATAAGTTTAACAAGAGTTATCGTAAAACAGGACGTACAGATACATATACATAAATATACATCAGAATTGGGGCTAGGAACTATATATTTACAATTCGCTATAACGAAGAAATATTTCTAATACATTAACTACTCACTCATTAGTATCAAAATTCATGTTAAATGGATCAACTAGATTAATGGATTTTATCCGATCCCTCGATCTTTTCTTTGTGAGACTAATGATGGTCTCCTTTAATTTAGGAAATCTTGAATTCTCTAAAACCAGACTCTCGTCCCTGGCTAAAACCAACTCGTCAAAATGAGTAGCTCGTAATGCTTGTGGAATAAATTGAAATAATTCAGAAAGTATCAACCCTAAAGAGTATAAATCCGCTCTATAACTATATTTCGCTTTCTCCTCGTTATCCATTCCGACATCTGGAGCCCTATAGAGAAGTGATCCGACTTCAGCAGTTTTTGAACTAGAAATATCATCTTCGACTGGTCTACACAAACCGAAATCTCCAATTTTTACAGGGAGTTGATAGCAGTCATCATTAGTTGTTAGTGAAAAGAAAATATTGTCTGGTTTTAGGTCTCTGTGGATAATATTTTTCCCGTTGTGCAGATATTTCAAGCCTTCTATAATTCCTTGTCCAATTTCTCTTCTGAATTCAAAATTCTTATCACATTTTTCCGGCAAGGAACAATTTGCTTCTACAAATTGCAGCCAATTCTTCAGGGTGGGTCCACAGAGCTCCATTGTTACTCTGATGCTGGGATAGCGCTCTGTTTTTGTTCTGGCTTTAAACCTGTAGTATATCATATCAGACACGTTGCTACCAAATTTATACGGTGTTTCTAGCGATTTTATATACAACTCGAGGATATTTTGGCCTTGAGGGATAACTTCGATTGTGTGAGTTCGAACCACATTTGGATGTTGTGCATCTGTCAGTTGTCCTTCCCTTTCGAATTCTTGTAAAGGACATCCAGAAGGTGAAGATGCTTGAAACAGCTTATGCGCTTCTTGACCACTGGATGGATATTTTGATACGGCAAACACGAAACCAAAACAACCCACGCCTAGAACCCGATGAATAGTGAGATCTTTCATGGGATTAGTATCCAAATCCTTGGTCGTAATTTCTTGATCCAATTTGCCTGTGTAAATTTTAGAGAGATGAAAATTCATGATACTTTATAATACAATCGATACTTGGGGATTAAAGGGATGCGTTCCTGGCAGTCAGACAGATAGAGCTGGACAAATATATAAAAGTAAATATGTAAGCTTATTACCTGCTGCACCACCACTTTCAAGTATTTCCGATTTATTAAGATCACATGAAGTTAAAATCCGTTCCATTTTGGGCCTGACTCAATTCTACGACAAGAATTATTTGCAACTTGTCTTTTCAATTTGTTTTACTTCTGATGAGCGACAGTCATGCACACTAGCAAATATATAGTTCCAACAAATTCAAAATTAGATCTGTGTTTTACACATATTTATTGAGAAGAGGGGTGAATTAATCAACTTTTTCTAAAATTCTCCTCGAGAAATGATGAAAAATAAGAAAATTTCACAGTATGAAGTAACTTGAATACGTGCAAAACGTAAATGAATGAATAAAGTAATGCAAATGATGACAACGAATAATAACTGTGACTGGTTAACCGAGCAGATAAGATAAATTTAATGCGGATCAAGTGAGATAGTAAAATGAACAAAACTTTTTAATTTCACACTATAATTGCACAAACGTTATCATATCAAACACATTACACGCGTTTAGAAAAAGCTGACTGCAAAGGAGTCGTACATTAAAAAACCCTAACTTTAAGAACAAACCCGTAAAAAGTATTAAACCCAGTAAAATGTATATTTGATTTACATAATTACATATGTATGTTCGCTTTTAATGTTCATTTTAATACTCAATTTAATGCGCTTGTATGTACTTGGCTAGCTAGGTACTTAAACATGCACATAAAAATGACCCTGCAAGTTTAGGAAGCCGAATTTATTGTCAACCAAGGTCAATTTCGAATCAGGTTCAGTCTTATCTAAAAATATTTCTGCCCTGCAGTCCACAAAGGAATGCCCCTTCCCATGATTTGAATCATGTCGCCACCATTGACCCCAGTGAAAGCAATATTCTCGCAGCACCATTCCCCAACTTTAATCTGTCCGCAATTGCTATTGGAAATTTTGCATTTCTGTGAACAATTAATTTTCAACCCAAAATTTTGATCATATGCCTTAACATTAAACGCATGACCTTTACATATTAAATTATTAATGATGGTATTAGTATTCCAAAACATGTCAACTCCAACAACAACCTTGTCCAAAAGGTCAAACTCGGCGTCATGCTTTACTACAATATTTTCCAGACTACTTTCACCTGCAGACCAGAGCTCCACCTGAAATTAATTAATTAAGTTCATTTATTTGGTGCAGAGTAAATGCAATTCGGAGTTTGTTTGATCGGATTGCCACCCCTAAATGGAATAAAGGTAAATTTTACACTTGCTTGACACTTACCCCTTTAATTACATTGCGTAATGTACAATTCTTCATTCTATTGTTGTCAACTGTGCCCGGGTAGAATCCAAAGACTTTTATTCCATTGTTGCAATTAGAGATTTCAATATCGTCCAGCACGTTTGCATTCGCTCTTTCTCCTTCGATCAGAATTCCTACTTCTGAATTCCTTGCCCTCAATCTGAATACATGGTTTCCACTCCCCTCAATCCTTAAACAGTCACCTTTTCCACTTTTGTTGTCAATATGAATATTTTCCACAAGATTATTATTCCCATCCACCCTCAATGTCGATTCTGCCCAGGATATTCCACACGCTTTGAGTTTCAGGTTTTTTATAGTGCAGCCAGTAACATCATTGGGAAGCACGAGTGGTGTGGCGTCCCCATTGGTCACTATGGTATTTTCTCCTTCTCCAATCAACTTGACCCCAGAGTGATAAAAGATGAAGTATCCCGTGTAAACGGCTTCAACCAGATGAATGGTGATCCCAGATTGGAATGTTTTTAAGTACGCTTCTAACTCTTCGGATGACTTGGCCCAGATTTCTGTAGCAATTAGTTGCACCTCGTATATGGTCTGGATTCGCTCCGCAACTTTTGTTTTAGTCATTTTGATTGTCTCCTTTAGATTCGGTACTTCTGGGCAATCTTTTATTAACGAAGTATCACCGCCATAAACCAGTTCCATGAAGGTACTTCTTCTCTGGGCAGTGGACATTTTGGTATGCAATTGTAAAACTTCCCAAATAATTAGTCCAAGACTGTAAATGTCGGCTGGTTTTCCATACCTCCCGGTACGAACTTCCGGCGCTTGGTAAGCCGGGGTGCCCACAGAGCTTGTCATTTCAGCCAATAAATCATTATTGGAATGGTCATCATTTTTTTCATCCTGTGTCTCAAGAAACTCGGGTGATTCTAAGGTTCGAGATAATCCAAAATCTCCAATCTTCAAGGGAAACATTTTCTGATGTGATGCATAGAAAACATTTCCAGGTTTCAAGTCCCGGTGAATAATATTTTTATAATGTAGATATCTCACGCCGGACAATACATCCGAAATAATGCGCAATTGAGTATTGAATAGTAATAGTTTGGAATTATTTGTATCGTCTGCACGGCTATCCAACCAACAACGTAGCGTTGAGCCACAAAGTTCCATTTCAATGCAGATAACATCCACTATACCAAATCCTTTCGCATTTTCTTCCAGCATCAATTTCAACCCGGAGTAAAAGTCATCCTCATAATCTTCTGGTAATTCTTTGATTTGTTCAGAGTCCAGCTGTTTTTCTCTCAATTGGAGAACATGCACTAAATTATTGTGCCTTAAATCTTTTAAATTTTGAAATTCTCTTTTTTGTCTTTCTTTATCAGTTTCGTTCTTCTTCTTCGACACAATTAGTTTGACTGCGGTCATGATTTTCAAATTTTTGTCGTATGCGGAGAGGACCATGCCAAACGCTCCATGTTCAAACCATTCGTGTCCGTTTGGGTTTTTAAGAATGGATAAAATACGAGCTGTCTGATTATCTTTGCTTTCAAGGTTGACTTTTTCAATGGATTCGAATGAATTTTTATCACCATGTTTTTCTTGACCGGTTGATACCAGATGGCGAACTAGGTCGGCAGCATTTGCAATAAACGGGTGTGTCACAATAGCGTGAAAGTCCTCCGAGTCAAGGGAAGTTGTAGAGTTTGACATTTCTATGACGGTTTGAATTATTTTACCGAGATCGCGTAAATATTTTCTTTCTAGGCATTGCGTCGCAGTGTCACATGCAACAAGACAAATTTTCACTGGTGGAGTGTCGCCAGACAGGTGAACACAACTGGGGGATAGATTCCCGTGGAAGACAGACTTCTCATGAAGAAATTTTAGCCTGTCAATAACATTTTGGATTATGGTGACTTGAATGTTTTGGAACATCGGGTCATGTTTTCGACTTCGAAATAAATCAATCCAGAGGGTCAATGATGGTCCGGATGGGTGTTGTGTTTTGATACAGGTTGCTTCCAGTGATAATGACACCTTTCCTGAAGGATGAATTTTATCTAAGAAAATTTTCCCATTTTCCATCTTCTCCCAATGCTCCATGTCCATTTTTGCAAATGTTCTGGGATAGGTTTCAATAAAGTTTAAAATGTTGGGATGTTCATAGTGTGACAAATTCTCAAAGTTTGCGACTATTTGCGGCACTAACGAGGATAAATCTTCTCGAGTTGTTTTTTGAGGGATTATAATCATGTCGAATCTTATCTTGGTCTGTGTATCCAAAATGGGAAATGTTAGAGAATCGAGATTGGAATTAAATTGTCCTTTCGATTTCAAATATATTTCTTTCTCGTTGTAGAATACCACGGTATTTGTTTCTGGTTCCATTTGATCAGAATTATTTCGAGAGAAATGTTAACTTAGCTGGAGTGATTTTTGTAAGTGTTTGTAGCTTTGAAACCGACGAGAGAAATAAAGTAAAATTGTTATGCATGAATATTTTACAATTGTGAGTATCACTTTTCAGTACAATGTGATTCACCTTAGCCTCGTTCAAATTACCAGATGAGATATAGGGATTAGCGTATCTGCCGCTAATGCGTCGGCCACATGCATAAATAAAATGCAGGTATGTACATACAATGTACTTAAATTTATGTCCAACTGTTCAATTGTGTGTCTCGGCTCTTATCTGGGCCAGCATGTCCAATTAGGTATGTTAAATGAGTTATGTATCAATTTATATAAGTTTTGAGGCAAAAAATTGAGTTAGATTTAATTAATACCTGAGAGATAAACGGTTTGGTTGACAAGGCGGACAATACCATTTGAGTGTAAATTTGTATCTACATATACATATGCATACCTATGTACATACATACACGCTGAATAAAGTTGAGTATAGTTTACAATAACACAATTTGTTTCGTAAAATTTACTCGACGCAGGTCAAATTTATCCAAAGTTGAGCAACGCTTTATGAATTTTAACTTTCATATGATAAATTTTACTACACCAGTTGTGTCATAGCAAATTTTACTCAACCATGAGTACCTAACCATGAAACAAAATCATATTGCTAATATTCTCCAAAAATTTCACGTGTTTTAAAGATGACAATATTATTTTTAAATTTAATTTCATACTTCACAAGGTCAAGGCATGTAATTTACCAAGTATAGAAACCTACAGGGAAATCAGTTTGACTAAATGTGCCGATATGCAAGTCAGCTTTATGTAGTTTTCTCCCAAATAAAGATTTTTTAAACAAAATTTTAATTAATATGAACAAATCAAATATTTTTAGTGCTATTAAATTGAATCTTTGGTTTGTTTTTCCCTTTCTTTAGCTACCATCCTTTCAGCTAGCATATTCCTGGATGACCCATCTGACTAGCTTCAGAAAAACCGGTACATGGTGTTGGACGAGTTGTCGCAAAACCCAAAACGCTCTTACACGTGTCCAATATAATCAAAAATTAAGGTATACATGTTCGCGCGTTTTTTCTCAATGTGCCCCAATTTTTTTATATCACCCCAAATACTGGAAAAAATCATTGTGACGCTTCTAGTATGCTGATTTCTGCCAAACATGGCAAGCTTTCCTTACTTGGGATCGCCCACAGTGCCTGAGAGAATTGGCCCCCTAGGTTGAAATTTATAATGCCAATTACCTGACAATTTTGACAATTTTTTTCGTTTTTTCGACATATTTTCCTAGTTTATGGAATGGTATCCTTCTAGCTTCATATCTCTACAGAAACCCTATATTCTGCTTCGAATACCGTTTACCCTAACCTGATAGCGAAACTATTCAGGGTACTTTGTAGGGAGATCGATTTTCATACATGTTCCACCGAAATACCAATAATGCTAATTCTTTCCATTAGTATCAGTCCCACCTACCCCAATTTTTGACATCTTCTACATATTTAGTAGTCGAACAATTGTTGATTGCAAAAAAGGTCGAAATCGACCTGTTTGACCTATGTTCAGGGGGTGGGGGAAGTTGTCGGGAGATCAAGTCTCACATAACCCCATAAGTGGGGTATGACTGGTACAATTGTTGGATGAGTTGCCAGCGGTTGAGTCGACCGGCGTTAAGATGGCTGAGGTCGGAATCGGGCGCAGCGGTGAGTGGGGCTCCAATCAGGAAGTGGCCTGGAGTTAGAGCAGACAGGTCACTTGGGTCACTCGATTCTTGAGTTATGGGTCGGGAATTCAGTAGAGCTTCTATTTGGATAAATGTGGTACTCATCCCTTCAAAGTTGAGTCGGGTTGTGCCAAAAGTTCGGATGAGATGGTACTTTACCGACTTGACTCCAGCTTCCCAGATTCCTCCGTGATGTGGACTTCCAGGGGCGTTGTAGTGCCACTGAATCCCTTCATTTGCTAGCTGGTTTGATACTTCTTGGTTGTGAGATGAATTGGCAAAGCGAGCTGTCAATTCTCGGAGTTCGCGATTGGCACCAACAAAATTTGTTCCGCAGTCTGAGTAGATGTCAGAAGGCCGTCCCCTTCGTGCGATGAATCGTCGTAATGATGCGATGAAGGCCTCTGTCGACAAGCTGCTGACGAGTTCCAAGTGAACAGCTCGAGTCACACAGCAGACGAATAGGCACATGTAGCACTTGACGGTTGTCTTGCTACGTGGTAACATTGGCTTTAGCAAAAACGGGCCGGCGTAATCCACTCCACATTTGGTGAATACTCTGGCTGGGGTCACTCGAAACTTTGGTAGGTCAGCCATGAGTTGTTGCATTGTTGTAGCTCTCTGTTTTGTGCATGGTACACATTGGCGAATTTGGTGGCGAATAGCATCTCGTCCACGAATTATCCAGTATTTTGCTTGGATAATTGACAGCAAGAGTTGTGGTCCTGCATGAAAGTTTCTCTCGTGTTCATACCGGATGAGTAGGGTAGTAAGATGACTCTTCCTCGGCAGCAGTATGGGGTGGCGTTGGTCAAAAGCAAGGAATGATTTGCTAATTCTTCCTCCCACTCGAACGAGACCAGACGAATCGAGAAAGGGATTCAATGCGAGGATTTGGCTTTTTACTCCCACATGAGGGTTATCAGAATTACTGAGGGTTTGAATGTCAGAGGGGAAATATTGATGTTGTGTGAGACGCACCCAATATTCCATGGCATTGTTGATCTCTTCGGGATGTAGGGGTCCACTGACTTGGCTGCACAATTTTCGAGTTGAAATGCGTGATTGGATATTTCTTGAGAAACGGTACATCCAAGCAGTCATTCGCAGTAGTTTGGAAAAGTTGGATGAATTTTGTAGGATTATAGAGAAGGGGTGTACTTGGACTTTGTTGACGACGAGTTCCTTTCTCTCCTCCATGTCGATGGTTGAATCGCGATGGATCGGCACGACCAGAGAAGGAATACCATTGTTGAGCCAACTGGGGCCCTTCCACCACAACATGAAGGCGGAAAGCGTAGAAGGGTCGATTCCTCTCGATGCGCAGTCTGCTGGATTGTCGATGCCAGAAACGTGTCCCCATTGCGAAGGAAGTATTCTGGTTTGGATTTTGGTGACTCTGTTAGCCACAAATCGGTGCCACCTTGATGGTGACCCTTGGATCCAGTCGTAGGTCGTGGTGGAATCAGTCCAGCCACTAATGTGTTGGTATCGAAGATGGAGAGCCTGCGGAACTTTCTCCATGAGTTTGGCAAGAAGTTCCGCAGCGCAGAGCTCTAAACGTGGTAGTGACACGGTTTTGACGGGGGCGACGCGTGTTTTCGACGTGACGATGGCGATGCTTGGAGGAGAGAACGATGAGTAGCTAGCCAAATACACCACCGCAGAGTAGGCCTTTTCGGATGCGTCTGAAAATCCTAGAAGGGCGAGCTGGCAGTCGGAAGTTGGTGAAGGTTTGATACAGCGTGGAATTCGAATTGATTCAATTTGTTTTAGTTGCGACTTGTAGTGGATCCAACTCCGTTCAATCTCTTCTGGTAATAGATGATCCCATCCTAGCTCCAATTTCCATAACTGTTGCATCATGATTTTAGCTGTGACGACAACGGGAGCCAACCAGCCGATAGGGTCGAAAATCTTGGCGATGTCTGAGAGTATGCAGCGTTTTGTAAGAACTTTCTTCACTGTGCTCGTGAGGTTATCAATCTTGAAGAAGAATTGATCAGTCGACGGGTGCCAGTATATCCCCAGTGCTTTGATGGTGTGACCAAGTTCCACGGACAATACTGATTTTGTTTCACGTAGCGATTCTGGTAAAGCGTCAGTGACTTCGGGGTGGGTGGATGACCATTTACGTAGTTCGAATCCTCCACATTTCATGAGGTCGAGGAGTTGTTGTTGAAGAAGTAATGCTTCTTTTACCGTTTCGGCTCCGCTCATACAATCGTCCATGTATAAGTCACGTCGGGCTACTACGGCTGCAAGAGGAAATTCGTCAGCATGGTTCTGGGCGTGTTGGTCGACGACAGCAGTGGCTAAGTAGGGGGCAGGACCGGTGCCGTAAGTAACGGTAAGTAGGCGATAGTCCTTGATGGGATGTTCAGGGCTTTCTCTCCACACGATGCGCTGGTAGTCGGTGTCCAATTTTTTTATTAAAATCTGGCGATACATCTTTGCAATGTCTGCAGTGAAGGCGACAGGATGTGTGCGAAATCGTAGCAGAATGTTGAACAGCGGTTCTTGGATAGTGGGACCAACCAATAAGCAATCGTTGAGAGACTTGCCGTTCGTGGTGCGAGCAGAGGCGTCGAATACAACCCGAAGTTTGGTAGTTGTACTTTCCTCCTTCAATACGTAATGGTGAGGGATGTAGTAATTGTTGCTGGACATTACTTCATTTTGAGGAACTTCTTCCATGTGACCAAGTTCCTGGTACTCCTTCATAAAAGCGTGGTACTCTTGACTGACTTCTGGTTGTCGGGCAAGGCGTCGCTCTAATTGTTTCAGTCGTTGGATTGCCATGTCGCGTGATTCGCCGAGGTTGGGTGGATAGGACTTAAAAGGAAGATGAACAACGAATTTCCCATCATCTCTCTGCGAATGAGTTGAGCGGAAGTGCTCCACACAAGTATGCTCTTCTTCTGTAAGTGGTACGGCTTCTGGTAACGTCTCAAGTTCCCAAAAAGTGGTAAGACGATGGTCCAAATCAGCATTTGATACCTCTACTCTTGTTGGTGCTTCATCATTTTTACTTAGTTGAACATGAAATGCATGATTATTGTTTTTTGTGCTCTCTACCTCACCCACCACCAGCCATCCTAGGTCGGAATTGAGGGCGAAGGGTTCTCCTGTTGCTCCAGTGATTTTGTCACCACGGATCAGGCCATAGAAGAGAGATGCTCCTAGCAGCATGTCGATCTCTCCAGGGTTGTGCCAGGTCTCATCTGCTAATTCGAGCGAGTTGAGATGACTTAGATTTGCGTTGCATGGATGAAGAGGAAGATGAGTTGTGACCGTGTGCATGACACACGTATCCTTTGCTCCAATGATGAGCGATGAGTTGAAGTGAGGGCTGAATTCCAAGTCCACGATGCCTTGGGTTGTGCCTACCGGTACCTCAGATCGGCCCGGTAACCAATGCTTGCTTTTTGTTGTAGCGTATCCCCAGGCGTCTGATGCATTTTCGGCTAATGATATGCGTATCAGAGCCGCCATCCAGAAGGACACGTACTTGTTGCTGAACTCCTTCAACATCTCGAACGTGAACAATTGCAGTTGCAAGGAGAGTCTGGCCAATTGTGTTGAATGTTTGAGCATGATGTGTGAGTGACGGATTGTTGCCGGTTGTGGGGGCGTTTTGACCAGTCGGTTTGGCTCTGTGGATGAGGGAATGATGTCTGCGCCCACACTGCTTACAGGATGAAGTCGTGGTGCACTTATGTACGGCGTGGCTACCTCGGAGACAATTGTAGCAAAGATTCAGTTTCTGGACTACCTCGATGCGATCTGGAACTTCCATGGCCAAAAACTTGCTGCATTTGAAAGGGGCGTGAGATTCTTGTGCACAAATCTTGCATGGTTCTGACGATGGTGATGGATTTTGGGCATGATGCACATGATTTTTCTTGGGAGCTTGCTGTTGCTTATCAAATGGCTTGATAATTTGAGTAACTTCTTTGGGGCCAGCCGCTTCTAGCGCCCTGGAACTCGAATAATCCCTGCAGGGGAGGGACGCTGCTATCTTTCAGACTCTGCTCGTACAGTTCCTTGGAGTGTGCGTCCAATTTCTGGTAGAGAGTGAATAGCAGGATTGAATCCCATTGTTGTACGGGTTGTCCCAGGATCTCCAGTGACCTGATGCACTCGCCGCTAACGTCAACAAGGGAACGAAGAGTAGTCGATGTGGGGCTTACGATTGGGGCCTGATTGATGAGTCGCTTTAAAATAGCAAAGAGTAACTGACGATCGTTCTGATACCGGTCTCCTAGCTGTTTCCAGGCGATATCATAATTGGCGTCGCTGATGACCAATGATTGGATGAGTCTCGCTGCTTCTCCTTTCAGTTGGGTCTTCAGATATGCAAGTTTCTGAGTATTTGATAGGTGTGCGTTGGTGTGAATTGCTGTACTGAACATGTCGCGGAACGATGTCCATTCTTCTATCTTCCCGTCGAAAGTGGGAAGTGTTAGTTTTGGCAACCGGATGTCCACTCGCGGAGCTGCTCCTGTGCTTGCCGTAGGTGTGGGCGTGGTTGGAGCCAATGAAACCTTGATGATTTGGAATTGGCTGCTCAACTCCATCACTCTGTCCATTAGCTGTTCGTACTCATCCTTGTGGGGCGTAAGGCCGATAGGGTCGCAATTGATGACAATTCTCTCGAATGTTTCTTCAACTGTTGCTTGATTCCGGGCGACGGTTTGCAAATAATTGTCAACTTTACCAACGGTTATTGGATTAGTAGGATGATCGGCCAGCTTCTTCTCGAGCCATTCAATGGTGTGTTGAGCTCTTTCTCGTTCTTTTCGTGCCTTCTCAATTTCTTTGTATGGAGCCATGTCTATTTCGAAACGTACTCAAATCACTTTTCACGCACTTTTTAGAGTTTGAATTCACTGTAATCCGGTTCGATAGAGACCAAAAATGATGTGGGTGTGATTTGAGGATGGAAGATTTTGTGATGATGATGGCGTGGTTTTGAGAAGGACAGACTTTTTAGGAAATTAAGAGTTCTCGGACAGCTTGTTAAGTTAATTTTGCTCAATGTGTTTTACTTCAGTTTAAAAAAAACAAGCCTTGTCATACATAAAAATGGTTAGAACTTAAAATGAATTGGGCTGATGTGGCTCGTAAGGTAAGCTTGAGAAGAGTGGCAAAGAATATTGGTTGAGCATTGGTTAAATTACATTTTGAAGGTTAATTGAATTAGGATAATTTGATAAGAAGTAAGGAGACACATTATGTTATCATATCGGTATTTTGTCCTTTCATACAATTAGAAAAGGTAAAATTGAGAAGTACACATTAAGTAAGATAAAATATTTGTATAATTGAGACGGCGACATGTACATCAGGTCAAAGAATCAGGAAAAGACTGAACTTGAGAATAAGATTACAAATGGTTATAAAATCTCGTAATGTCCTTGGATGCAAACGAATTGGGTGGACAGTAAATGTAAAATAATAACTTATGAAACCGATCAAGGTGATTTGCTATTCGACTTTGCCTCTTGCCCATTATTTTGAATAATTTTTTCCTCAAAATTTAACACTTCGGTTACGAAGTTTGAGGGAAAAAGTCCAATCTTTTCATTCTTCAGCAAGCGTCCACGATACCAACCTTCCTCAACTTCTTCAATGAATTCAATCAGGTCTCCAACAACTAAATTCAGTTCAGTTTCTGATCCAGCTTCAAACGGAAATATCGCCTGCAGATATCTTAAATAAATCGTTTTAGTTAATGAGCAACCGAAATGCTGTAATATTCTGTATCATACTTGGGCAACTTATTCAAGGAGCAGGGACGTGTTTCAATAGCTGCGGTTGCCCCCAATTGACTTGACGTTTTACTGATTGTGGAATTTAACTCTTCGAAAACTTCGGAGGCATGACGTGTAGGAATTTTTTCAAGTTTCCTATTAATCCTTCCCCAAAACCAATTAGCGTTATGTTCCATTACGAATTGGATCATTTCGCCAGAACCGAGACAACGCTTATCCGTACTTTGTGAGTTGAATGTCTGATGGATCTTGAACCTTCTGCAAAATTAATATTTTATAGTATAATGCATAATAAGGATAAGCGCTGTTTATTACCTAGTACTCTTATCCCAATCAAGCGGCAATTCTTTAACGAAATTTGACGGAAATATCCCCAATTGTTGACTTAACCTTCCAAACGACCATCCACCATCTATGTCTGTGATAAATTGAATAATATCCCCCATCTGGAACGCCAATTTATTTGACTCTGATGACTCGTATGTGTATAAGGCCAGCAGGTGCCTAAAAATAGAAAAATAAAAAAGCTTGTCACAAGAACAATTCAAAGAGTACCCGCAAACTATTGCGGGTACAGGTAGGTGCTTTTCATTTCACAATATGCTGCATTAATAGCTTGCGGTGATTAATATTACCTCATACTTATTCTCCAGTCTAGTGGTAATTCCTTAACACAATCCGATGGAAAATTCCCAACATTTCCTTTACTCTCTCCATGCCACCATCCATCCCTTACTTTTGCCGCAGATTGAATAATATCTCCAATATTTAACGCCAACTCACTCGAGTGTACCGGCTCGTATTTGTAGACGGCGAGGAAGCTCCTACCAATGAGAATATAAGGTAAAACACATCTCAGCAGGGTACCCGAGATTTTTGCGGGTTTTGGTGGGTTTTGGGATAGCAAATATGAGCAATACCCACGGGTCAATGTAGTCTGGGTTTTCAAACTTAATTAGATAAGTATGATAACAGGGCATTAACAACTATTCTACAAATCAATTAGTTAATATTATTAACTAATTATTAACTTAATAATTAGTTATCAAATTTGAATTAATAGGCAGTTCTGTTGCGCAATTACTGAAGAGTAGATTTTGTTTCACAACCTAATATCTACATGAGACATGGATTCAATTTACCCCTAAAACCCCGAATACCCCGACTACCCCCGAATACCCCGAATACCCCCGAATACCCCGACTACCCGCAAAACCCAGGTAAAACCCCTCGGTATGGGTTCAATAGCAAAACCCCGGGGTTTTCCTTACCCTGCTCCGACGACTGAGCTATACGGCGCTCTCTAAATATCACGCGGATACTACGCGTGACTTACCACTATGGTAATAAATTTGTTACTGGGGGATGGTAAATTTGTAACCACTGCAATAATATTGCCTCTGGTTGCACTAAAGTGTTACAAGAGCGGTAACAAATTGACTACCACTCGGCCGTAGAGTTACTTATGCTCACTCACCGCATGATAATGACGACCTTATTATTTAATTTTTTGATAAATTTAAATAAATTTTTCCAGCCAGGTAAATTTGGTGTGGAGTTCCTAATTTACTTGTGCCGCCAATCTTAAATTTGCTTCGTCATCTCGGCCGGCGTTGTAAACAGCACGATCTACACAGAATTTGTATCAATTATTATACACGTTAGTGTATTTAACATCTATAACGAAGACAATAATCGTTTTGTAAAAAATGGTGAAATTCGGGAGTAAGACAAAAGTCGTCCTAAAAAATCGTGGTCATGGCGCGGAAGTTAGACAATTGTCGTTTCTAGGAGGTCATTCATTTTCACCGTTTTTCTCCGCGGCCTAAAATTCGTTGCAATTTTGAGGAATTTCTTCAATGTTCAAGACAATGTTAAGTTTCCGAAAATTTGGATATTTCCCTATGCAACGCAATATTAAATTTTTGTTTTTTTAGTTTTGTTAAAACTCGTGAATTCCTCCTCACGCGCTATGACCACAACATACTTATCCGAATTAATGCAGTTTGTTGTTGTTACTCATACATGTTAAAGGGTTAAAGTATTCACAGAAACAATGAGGGTATTCATTACGAGTTCTTATGTTCCATAACAACTTGCGCCGCCTTACCATGTCACTGACAAATTATCAGAAATGTCGAATTTGTGAAGATTTCAAAATTTTTGACAAATATTATGCCAAGTTAATGTTTATTGTGAGTAAAATTATATTTTCCAGAAATTTCTGTGACATCGAAATTGACGGTCAAATTGACAGCCATGACATATTCTTGCTTCACGAGGACAAGCTCCATTCTCAAAGGGAACATATCTAACTTTTTAAAATATTTTGCATACCCTTAGAAATGTGCAAATTTGCACATCAGTTTTTAAGCCAATTTTTGTTTGCTGAATTGGGAACTTTGTTTTGTTTCTAACTCGTAATGAACACCCCCAATTCGTACGGAATTTAGTTGAAACATACCAGTAATTCTCTTTCTATCGATTTATTTTAAATATTTAGTAAAATTAATGTATCTTACTGTAATTGATAATATAATTAATGTAATTGAAACATGAACAGTGCAAGTTCCGAAACGTTTTAATCACTAGTCTGCCACATTCCACTTTTCCTTCGAACAATAGCAGTGAGCTCACTGTTGAATGCCTGGCTTTGAAATTAAATCTAATCTCAAGTCCGTAGACTGATAAGAGAAAAATATGCACGTATCTATAAATGCACATTAGCATTGTTACAAGCAAAAACCATGGCCAGATTGTAAATTACAATTACATGCACAAGTGGAAGAGTTGCACACTGATTCACATCTCAAAGCAAAGTCTTGATGCTTCACTCTTACTTAGAAAACTGATATGCTGGTGAAATATGTATCTAACATTACGCAATCAGTTCACATGATTGAATATGATTTGGTGAATATACAGGGTGGTTAAAATGTCATGCTACAATGGAAAATTTTTCGATGGCAAAAATTCTTGAATTACCATTAGTTACCAAAATTTTGTGTCTAAAATTCAACATTTTAAGAATTTCGTAATCAGTTTTGATGAAAATTATAAAAATTTCAATCCCAAATCTTCTAACTAATGGAGATTTAGTTGCTTTTCCAATTTAAAACTTTTCCATTGTAGCGTAACATTTAAACCACCCTGCATGTACATATGTAAAGCAGGAGAAGCAATACATTGGAGCCTTGGATGAAAAGCAATACATTGGAGATATAAGGGTGAAATGACGAGAATAACTAATAAAAAATCGTTAAAATGTATTAAAGATGTTGTAAACTTGGATGAGAAGCTCATGAGAAAGGTTATATGTAAGGTACTTATTTAAGGTTAAATGTGTATGGATATTATTATTTCTAGTTTGCTTATAAATATTTGTATATTAATTATACTATGAATGAACCCTCCGAGCCCCCGAGATCATTAGGTAGTTGGTTTTTGCCTTCCTTGCATATCGGCTATTTTCACTACTCATACTGTATGAGTCATACATACATATATAACATATGTCTATACAATTTGAATTGAAATACCCAACTTGTCAACAAAATTCAATTAACTTCCTATTTTATCTCAAGCATTGGATTAAACGTAAAAAATCAACTTTATTATCTCCAAAACTGATTATGTCCGAACATCGACAACTTTTATAAACTGCTTGTAAATATGTATGTATATGTATGCTTCCTCCGATAATGCCTCAACTCTTGTCCATAAGCAGTAATAAGTCGTAAATACGCAAATTACATCATTCCATTAGCTGTTTTCTTGACTTTGTGCCGTAAATTTTTGACGGGTTCCAAACAATGTAATGGGGCGAATTAAATCAACACCCTTTAGTTAATTTACGTACATCGTGATTATACATTATTTATAAATCTATTTAATTGCATTCCCATTACGAAAATTTCGACATACAAAATTATTCTTCCCCAGTTTCCCCCAAACCTGGAGCCAAATCGCGGGAAGACGATTCTGTCTGCAAGAAGATAAAAGCCTCCCTAGAGATCAAACCTTGGTAAGGGACGTTTGGATCACGGTCACCACGTGCAGCGTGGATCCATTCCCATTCAACCTCAGACTGGATTACGCGCCGGATCAAGTCGTCAAAATCAATGAGATCAATGAAATCTCAGTCTGCTCCACGTTCTCAAAATTCTTCAAGTTTTATTTCCCAGAGATCCTTTCTAGTGATGAACTTGTTCTTATCGAGGTGTCCTCAACACGGAACCAGTCCTATTGCACGACTTTTTCAGTGCAGAAATTGAACGTAAGTTGGGCACAGTATTTTGCGAAGCTAGAGATTGCGATTTTATGAAAGCACACTAAAATTAATACGTTACGTAATACTAAATTTTGACTCCCACCGAGTTTGAACTAATATTAACTCTGTTAGAAAGTTCCTTATTTTCTAAGTTAGTAAGCATATTTTTGCGGAGCATAAGACCTACGTGAACACTAAATCTTTTTGTTTTTGGTGTAAAGTGAGATATAATTCAAATTTCGAGGAGATTTTACGTGAGCATTAGTCGGTATATATATTTTGCAAACCTCACGCTAACATAAAGAAACGCTAGCTTTACGAAAAAAGTTACTGTCCGAAGCTCAACTTGGAATCTCCGAAAAGTATACTTGTAATCACCGTCAAGCTAAGTGATCAAGAATCTTATTAATAACCAGGTTTTCGGTCAACTTAACACCAATTTACTTCCTTGACACCTGATCATTAGTATAATTCGCAACATTTAAGTAAAATCGACATGATCAATGCCACTTTGTACGCAGTGTCCTGTGGAGGTTACCAAACGACATGTAGACAGTGGGGACGGATACGAGCAGACAATTACATCCAGTGGATCCATGATTATTCCGGTAAATCAAAATCCTAACAAATAACTTTAGATTTTAACGCAAAATTCAAAACTCACAGAGACAACTTTTCTCGGACGGATTCTTCCTCATTTTTGTCGTCCATCCAACAGACGACGCATGCAACAAGGGATTCTCCCCGGGCGACATTGTCAACCCCAATGTTATTCAAACAGATGGGCCGTTTTGCCCCCGGGAAAACCCTTTCAATGTCTCGATTAGACCCATCATTCCTCAAGGCAACTATGGGAGACCAATGTGGGAACCGGTGGTGATTCCTCTCGCCATCATAATCACTATAGAAGGGTTAATCTTCGCCTATATGGTGATCACAGGGAGGAAAATTGTTTGTCAGGAAAGGTTAAATTTGTGTGAATTCTTGAAAATTTCATGGACCGCGGCAATGCGGACAAGTAAGGCTGGATTTTCCCGTAACTTTTGGAGGTTAACACTAATCGTGGGAATATTTCATGCCGTCCCGGCGATAAAACTGGTCATAAACTGGATACGGGTAAGCAAGTCGGGCAAATATGGGAAAAGGCTCTTGTGATCGTCCAGTTTAACCAATCTAATCACCGGATTATCATTGATCGGTGATGATATACGAAATATAATTCTTATTTTATTCAATCAAAGATTCTCATCGCGATGGGGGAACACGATCTGTGCTACTTCAATTCCAAGTGTGCTCATCCAGATTTCTTCCTTGGAGTGTATTTCATGGATTTCAACCATATCTGGTCAAAACTGCTGTACATCTTGTTGGGAGGACTATTTCTCGTGAAACTCGTTTTCAACGAGTGGGTAACCAAGGCGGGTTTCATACTTCCTAAAATCGAAGCTTAAGAGCTAGCCGACCGTCGACAACTCCTGCTACCAGAAAATGTACAACCAGAAAATGTACAACCAGAAAACCTACAACCAGAAAATCTGCTGCCAGAAGCTCTTCATGCAAATAATCAACAAGGAAATAACCCACCATGTGAACAAGAGAACCAAAATGATGGTGCGAGCTTCGAAAATCAGTTATATATTAACCATTCGGCAAATTTTAATTGTAGTGATATTAACTCTAATCAGATGTCGTACCCGAGACAAAGTTTGTCGGGACATTTGCCGCGTTAGGATTGTCCTTAATTTTGGTGTCATGAGTGCGGCTTATCATATTTGTCCCAGTGAGGAAAACTTTGAGTATGATAAGTTTATTCTAATTAATAACCACATATTTAGTAAAGAGGCCACTATTATGTGGGAAAATTATGTTTTTCTATTATTTCATCAAACAATTCAGCCACAAATATCAATCGTAAGCGTGATCAGTTATAAGGTCTTGTCTTACATAGCCCTCCAAATTCTTAATCCCAAACTCATTAATTACTTTCCCATCTCTGTCAGAAGTATTTAATATGAAGAACATGTTTATTTTGAAAGTAGAACTTTAATCTTTGATCTCTCCATTAAGTCCAAATTGTTAGAAAAATTGATTTTCAAAATCATACAAGTAATAATTAGTTAAGAGTAAATAAATAAAACTCTCTATTTATTGTCATCATGAGGACCACATTAATTTTTCCGATGGTGAGAAGTTCTACGGGAAATCCTTAACTAAAATCTGTATTTCTATTTTTAATTTAGACACTAACTTTATGTACGCAATTTGCGCAATTGTTCTATCTCTACTGTATCGATTCCGAACTTCTCGCCGAGCAAGTACCGGAAAGGGTAGAACAATAAGGTACGTACGTATTTACTTACACAAAAGTGCATATATGTAACGACACAAGCTGTGTATCATCGTAAATCGGAAGGTTTTGTCTATTCACTTCTTTTAATTTTCTTTTAACCACATTGCAATTCCTCGCGTGATCAATGGGCAGATTATGTGTATGCAGCCCTAGCTTTTTTTACAAAAAATTGAAACATTGCCTGTAGTTAACAAATTTTCTAAAAACAATAGAGTTTAATTACTTTTCAAATTACTGCTAGACCGAATCTTGACTGCTAGACCGAAGTTTGGCTCTTCGTTACTCCTCAGTTTTACCGTTTTCTTGGCACTGGGGGCAATATCAGTTCTACAGGTCTTCATCCCTGGTTTCCCTCATACGATGAAAGTTGTTGTGACCGTTATCCACATCATAATTTGCTTCACAGTTGCTCTTTGTCGATGCAGGAGTAAAGGTAAGCGGTAACGGAATTATTTCCTTGTCAAATTTCGTATGGTTATGGAATAAAGTAGCCGCGGAAGCAGTGGTGTATTTTGTAGGGTTTAGATACATATATTGAATTGAATTTTGAATTATTTATGTTAATCCAATTTTGGAACCACTCGGGCCAATAAAGGAGCATTTCATGTAGGCATAATACAAGGATATATTAATAATTTTAGATGCGGATGATTTGCTTAAATTCTAGACAGATTAAGTCCGTTAATTAGAATAAGTAAAATTATGAATAATGGTAACGGAGTGCACGGTAGAGTATTACGTAGTATAGTGGTTTGCACACATCATGGCCAGATGATAGGGAAATTAAAAACCGGGGTACATTATCTATTTATCCCCACACATACGCGGCCACTAATGGAATTTGGTACAATGCGAAATGATATAGGTGTCTATAAAATCTGTCTCAAATTTGGACAAATTTCATGTAAAACGTATATTTAAAATTGCACGTACGATAATTATTGACATTTATTTTTAGGTCCCCCAACCCAAGTCGAAC